AATTCAGGTATACTGTGGAGTGAATACATGTCATGATGCTTGTGTCAGAAGTGTTTTGCTTTTCTCAGCTTTCTCTTAAAACTTTTAAGAGTATTCTAGCCGTTATTAGCGCCTTAATTAATTGGAACAGTGCAGTTAAGTCAATATCTCAGATTTTGACATAAGTCGTAAAGCGCATTGTCAATATTATTTGTGGTGAAATAAGGTTCCCATGGTAAGCATGGAATAAGATTTTCAATGCATGTCCAGGTACATTTTTTCAGCTTCAGAGTTCAATTTTACAGTATTTAGAGGATGAATAATACTCAATGCATTTCTGTGGTCACTAATTAAAACTCATGACTAATGTGCACTGAGAGTCTGTGTTAATTGCAAACATTGAATCAAGAATATTATTCGTCGTGGTAGGCTTTCAGACTTGTTGAACCTATCCACAAAGTTCTTATTTTTAAAATAACTTGTTATATTGACCTGGTACCGAAGTCGAACTCCATGTAGTTTTTCGCACATTAAACGTATACGGTTGGTATGAAGCAATAAAAAGTACGTTTGTTAGTAATTTATCAAAGATAGTATCAGCATGATGTGGTCTGTATATGCAACCCACCAGTAGATAATTTTGTAATCTACAATTAGCGGTAGACCAATTGGAGTCATCTATAGCATCAACACATTCATTGCTAACTTTCCAATTATAAATGTCCGAACGGATGTAGATAATTGTACCGCTTCCTATTCGCTTCCTATTCTATCGGTTTGATAGAAAACTTAGTTATTTACGTTCAGGAAGTGATCGGCCATGAGTGGTTTGCACCAGGTTTCCGTAATACGTACAATGTTTGGATCTACAAGGAACACAAGGGTTTTGAGATAATAATTTTGTTGGACAGAGAGCAGGCACTGAATGAAAGAATAAGAAACTGAGGGGTATCATGAAGAATCAGGTTAGAGTATAAATCAACAGTATTAAATCCATGAACATTCGAGGGACTAGATAAGGCAAAAATTGTGTTATGAGGCGTGTAGAATCAACAGCTTTGTCATCATTTGTGGTGTAATTACCGTCGCCGGTAAAGAAGTCAACGAAATTCCCAAAACGTTAGCCTGATTTATATTGATTAGAATGTCTAATGGAGACATAATGTACATATTAGGAGTCGGACCAAAAGGGCTATCAGGCCTATGTGTGTGGCGAGCATCAGCGATGACACGATTCATGAAAAACATTTAAAGCAATAGTTAAGTGACCCTGATCAGGAGAGAGCTGGGTGGAGAATACTGGTTAGCGGACTGTGCTCGTCCATGAGGGTTAGCAGGCATAAGTAATTATTCAGTTCCATGCGTATTGTCGGTTATGTTTGCATTTGTGGTCTACTTTAAATATTTCGGTTATCAGGATTAAGTAGCTAAGCGGATGACGTGATGGCTTTTGAAGCGGACGGTAACGAGATCGAGTCCCAAAGTGAACATGAAGTCTGAGATGCAGATACATACAACTGTCGAGTCTCAAATAGGCCGAAACGCGCATCTTGGATTCCACTGCTAGCTACTATCCAACTTTGTCTATTTCCGTTATGGTTTTAAATTTTCTTTAAATCTATCTTTTGATGCTCTTTTTCGGTTCATTCACATATATATGCTAATTCTTTTTAACTCTTTTAATCTGTTTACAACGGTCAGCTTTACCTATGAATATGAGCAGCCAAATTGTTTTTCAGTGTGGATGAAGGAATGTAATGTGACGAGTCTAAACGACCGTTCCACAAGATGTATATCCTTTGAAGTCCCATCGCATACAAATGATGGTCGAGGCCAAACTCCCACTGGCTTCGTATGTTTTGTTGTCTGACTATATAATTATTGATCCAGGAGGCGATGTGCCTCATGGCTTTAGCTTGCATGAAAGCTGATGGTGGCTGCACTAATAACACGGCCAGCGAAGAATGTTTCAGTGTAGTACGTGTTGTGACGAATGAACCAAGTGTCCCACTGTGAATCATGGAAATGGAAAACCGCCCTAAAAACGAACAATCAGTGAAATACCACTGGATATTGATGGTCACGATTCCAACGTAGTGCTTAAATACACGGATAAAACCGTCACTGTTTCGATTTGGCTGTCATGATTGACAGGAAACGGACGACTGGGTGGAGACAAAGAAGAGAGGGAAGAAAGCCACAAACGGCACCCATTTGGTTGAGGAGTCTTTGGTAGACTATGATTGTGCGTAACAATAAACCACCAAAACCCCAAAGTAAGATGGAACTTAACCTTAGCGTTGTTCTAACAATCTCAATCACATCGGGTATTATTGTAAATGATTTGCTGGAGTCAAACGATCATGATTTAAAAATTGGACGCGTGCATGATTTTGAAAAAGTCAGATGCCTAGTCTCACATAACGAGCAACTTCTTATTAGTATGTACTGAGTATTACTGATCTGAAACATGTAAGAAACTGTTCCACACTTGGTGACCTGACTGCCTGATGATTTGGCCAAAGTTCAGTGACATTTCAAAGTCGCTATAATCTAAGGAATCGTGTATGGTTGTTTCCAGTCGGGATCCCCTGGGAAAAAGTGATCATGCCGTCATAGCCTTCAGTTTTTTCAGCAAAACTAAGGTATGATACCCCCCCAATATCTCGCGTTGGAATTTTAAACGGTTGTATGTGCCAGCTCTACACGACTATCTACAACAAGTGTGTGGAGGGTCATTAGGAATTCTTACTCCACACGCTCTTACGTGCTACAAACCATTCAGTTCCTCAAACGGTTCGCAAAAGCTGCAAGCCACCTACAATAATCAAGAACCGTGCCCTTCGCCTGCTAAGCCGCAAAAGGCACTGTTGGGCGGAATACAAACGAACTGACAACGATGGAGCGTACAGGCAATATAAACATATCAGGATCATATGCACGAAGGCTATAACAGTAGATAGGCTTCAGTACCAGACAAAGCTTATGAACAAATTTGCCTCTAATCCTAAAAGCTTATTCCGTTATGCAGCCTCTCTTCGTCAAGCCAAACCTGGAGTTCCCTAACTGCTAGGTCTTAACGGCCCGACCAACAAGGATCGCGACTCCGCTAACCTTCTGGCGGCACATTACTCTCAAACATTTCAGCCGGCTGACATCAACTTTTATGATGACAGTTTCGTTTGCATTTCCACAGGACTTTCCTAAGTGAACCTAAGCGCTGACATGGTGTTCCGGAAACTGCAGCACTTAAGATTAGACACTTCTCCTGGCCAGGACGTGGTCCATTCCGCTATACTGAGGGAAGCAGCCTCAATATTGGCAATGCCGCTTAGCATGATCTTCTCACACTCGCTAAGTCAAGGAAAACTACCGGAAAATTGGAAGCTGGCTCACATCACACCAATTTTCAAAGGAGGTCGACGCAGCGAACCTTCAAGTTACCGACCGGTGGTTCTTCTCTCAATACCTTCGAAAATCATGGAGTTCCTGATATGTGATGGTATAAATGACTATTTACTGTCCTTAAATTTCTTCTTACCCCAACAGTACGGTTTCAGGAAGGGTTACTCTTGTATAACCAACCTGCTGACTGCGGTGGAGAGATGGACAAGCACCGTTGATCACTAGGGGAAGGTTAATATCATCTACCTAGATTTCTCAAAAGCTTTTGATAAGGTTTACCATACATGTCTTATCAATAAGCTCAAACGATTGGGAATCAGACCACCTCTAATCGATTGGCTCACTTCATACCTGAAAAACCGACATCTTAAGATCAGGATTAATTTCACTTTCTCTCAGGCTATTGAATGTCCTTGTGGGGTCCCCCAGGGCTCAGTACTAGGACCTCTTCCCTTCCTGATCTACATAAATGATCTTTCTCGACAGGTAACGTCTAACTTATTACTTTTTGCCGACGACGTGAAACTTTGGAGAGAGATACGCAACCAAGACGATATACAGGCACTTCAGGAGGATCTGACTAGACTTCAAAGTTGGGTAGACGATAACGGACTTACCTTTAACACTTCAAAGTGTAAAGTAGTCCATCTGCGACACGTTGCAGACTACAGTTATAACTTAGGTAACTCCCCCCTAGTAGTATCTCAAGTCGAAAAAGATTTAGGAGTCTTGGTGCCCTACGATTTAAAGTCTTACGCTAACTGTGACAAAAATGACTTCCGAGCAAACCTTGCACTGGTAACATTGAAGCTCATTTTTGGCCAGTTTGACGGAAGAAGCTTCCATAAAATCTTCAATAGTTTTATCCGTCCCCATTTAGAGTACGGAAACATAGTATTTCCCCCCTCACTCCAAAAGGATAAGGACACTCTGGAGCATATTCAACGGCGAGTCACGAAATCAGTTCGAGGACTCAAATTTAAACCTTATGAAGAGCGCCTCCATTCACTTAACCTTTACCCATTAGAGTATAGACGTCCTAGAGGTGACCTTCTGATGGCTTATAGTATACTTAACACTTCTGGACATCCTCTCAAACACCGACTCAAGCTTAGTTCCAACACTAACCTAAGGGGTAACACCCAAAAACTGGAGACACAACATAGCAGAACGGAATGCAGACACAACTTTTACTCCTTAAGAGTTGTCAAATGCTGGAATTCGCTAGACCTAGCGACTTCCCAGGAGTCCTTTAAGAGACAACTTGATCTATTCTTAAAGACTAAGGATAGTATCGAACTATGATTTATCAATTTCCTTTCCTGTTTTATTGTTAACATACCTAGGTTACTGCCTGGAGGATTTGGTGATCCCCTGCTACTAGACACGGAAGCCTGTTAAGCGAAAGCTTCTTCTATTCCGTCAACAACCATTTGAACCATTTATGTCACGTAGCAATGAACAACTCATGAAGAACATAGCTTATGGTGTTAGCAACTACTTTGATGGTTTTCAAACATCAGCAGACTACATAAACATACAGACAGCTCAGAACCATGTTGGCATATACGAACGCAACCAATCACAAGTACTTCAAGTACGAAATGCTCGCTGTCATTCAGGGCGTTCAAGGTCGTGTTAGGGAAAGCGCGGTCAAGTTCAGGAGTAGGTTACTTCTGAATGCTGAAATCGGTTGATGAGTTTATTTTAGAGCACATCCAATTATGGAGTAAGAATAGCAGATGCTTGATATTAGATTTTAGTGCACCTGATATTAGTTGGGTAGAGATTTCCTACGTAGGATCTGACAAGTCTTTCGATATTCGGCTCCTGATGACTGATGGATACTTCACTGCAGTATGTATTCGAACACACACATCTTGTTTTAAACCCAGGATCTTCCTTAGACTGAATAATCACTCATGCGGCCGATGATATTGCCTACCTAAATGTTCTCACACTTTGCAATGGTGGTCATGCTGTCTCATCATTTATGTTTAGAGGTTGTAACGTAAGCATGGTCTATATTTAAAAGTACGGTTAGTTTAGTTACGTTCACCATGGATAACTAAATGGTTCGTGAAACTCAAGCTTAAGAAAAAGCTGTGAATTATGTTTATCTCTTCAGGTTCTGAACAGTACAAAACCATTTATTGTAAATCTAGGGGCGCTCGCGAAGCGTCGACAAGTAAGGCTAGATATCCATATGAAAAACAGTCGGGTAAAGGTTGTGAAAACCTATAAGGGTTACTGTCGTACATAAATAGGCAAACTTGGAGAAGTAGTGAAAACTAGCATATATATATATATATATATATATATATATATATATATATAGTTATTATTGTAATCCAGTTATTTACACTCATTTATGTCAATTGTTTTCACACTATCTCCATGTAAAAAAGAAGTTCTATCACAATTTTGGTTTGTAAGCAGCTGAGGAGAAACCTCGAAATAATATTCGAAATACTATTCTGCATCAATGTTTGTTCTTGCTCTATTCAAAAACTAGCACTTTTGATACAATGAAATCCGTCGATATTGACAAGAAGTGATGTTGCAAAAGCTGAAGCCTTATCAGAATATTTTAGTAATGTGTTTTCTACCGACGATGGTAAAAGACCAACAATAAGTTGTGATAGTGTTAGTTTGTCGATAGATCTTGTGGTTACTGATAAAAAACTACTTCAGCATGTGGAATCAGATAAGTCATGTGGTTTTAAAGATATTGCCCCATGAGTCTGACCAGTGTTGTTGTCAAACTAATAAGAAAGATTATTCAGGTGGCCATTTTAGATTATGTGAAAGGGTACACTTTTTTTTAAGCAACAACATCGTTTTGAGAAAGGCCTATCATGCTTAACAGTACTGCTTATTGCAACAGAAGATTGGGCTGTAGCTAAATATAGGAATATTCCTGTAGATGTGATTTCCATAGATCCAAGTAGAGTTTCTCGTCTGGGGGCTATGTCAACGTGGGGATTTGTAAGAAATGGAGTCCTTGCTTCAAGTATGAGATAAATATTCTAGAAGGAGTTCAACGGCGGGGAACATAATGGTAAAAGGTATCTTTAGTCTATTTTACAAAGACCGACTACGACGTCCCAGCTTATTTCCATCATCTTGCAGGGTGATCTACTACTGACCTATCGTATATTAAATGATGACCTCGGTTTTAACATGACTTATCTTTTCTTTCCGTTTAGAATAGATCACCTGAGAGGACATTATAAAGAAGTTCAAAAACCGCGATAAAATATTTTACATCTGCAACTCCTTTTTCACACAGAGTAGTGAATTACTGGAATTCTCTACCAGAACACGTAATATTAATATCTTCTGTTCATTCATTCAAAGCGAAATCTAACCTCCACAGCGTTACAAATTTCAAGGATTAATCTAAGTCAATAGACCTGTCTTTACTACTGAAGATTGAGTTTGCTAAGTATGGTATGTACCTTACATTTTCGAAATGCATCTTTGTAATATTGATAGAAGCCCATACCTACACACCCTGTTGTGAACATTTGGAACTATTCTAAACACTCATGTCTGAGTGGTTGTGAGTGTTGATGGTGGCTTCTGAACCACACGTTACTTGTCGATGATGGGAGTAAAGCAGAGTTAGTTAGCTTGTCACATGGCATCCTAGTACAAGCGATACCATGGAGGATTATTTTTTACTGGACCATCGCGGGTTCTTAACTTGAATTTTTAGGGATCAGATAGCTCATTTGCTTCTGATATCGTCAGACAATGATCAGAACAAAAGCCAGTGGCCGGTCTCATGGCTTTTTATTGCAGTCTTCATACGAATGAGATAAACCTTCCTTACCAGACGAAATGTATTACAGCTGTTTTCCAACTAAACCGTACCTTATATTAAATTCTGCTTTTTATTTACTTGACCTTCCCTCTTCTGTTTTTCCAAAAGATTATCGCTTCATTCTATGTGACTTAGTCTTGAACTATCCTTTTGCGCTAAAGTGCTCCAATCGTTGAATAAATACTGCTACATAGTCAGTTTGTATTCACAGATAATTCGTTGCTATATCTCTCCAGGACAAAAAATGTCCCCCAAGTTCGTACTTGCCAAAAAATAAACGGTTCTCAGACAATATTTGTAGCAAATAGTTCTGTTTATCGTCTGTCTTTAGGTACCAGCACTTCCAAATAAATGTCTCTTAACTTCACGAAACAGGAGTAAAGTTACGTGGGAATTATTTCCTAAATAAATAAATTATTCCCAACATTCTGACCAGAGCTCACATAACCCAATTTCATCAAATAGCGCATTGGCAACTATTGACTAGGATTCAGTTTGGTAGTATCCCTTTGACTTTAAATGAATGCTACCACGAAAATTCGCTCTCGAGCCAGAGACTCACTGTTTATCCAAAGTTTAGTGAATAATACTCGTGTGAGTTTCAAGGACACTGGAGTTCCTTACCCATCTATCGTGTTAACATTTCTGAAAGCTGTCTAATTTCCGATCCTCTTTCTTAATGTATTCCCATTATCTTTTATGTACCTAGTATTGAATAGCCAAGTTACTTTTTCTTGTTATACAGATCTAAAAATGGAGTACATTGACAAACTCCCGGATGAGCTTTGCTGCAAGCCTAAACCTCTCATCGTATTTTCCGGTTTGGATACGGAAAGAAATCAAGTCCATCGGTCTATTTGGAGAGCCTTCAATACTAGTAAAAGCCATGACCGAGATTCATTTAAATTTCGCTGCAAATCAGTCGACCACCAGTTTCCAAAGCCGAAGTACAAGGTTTGTTGTTCATTTCAGTTGATGTTTCTTAGAGTCTTGTTGTGCAATTCATTATATGATTATTAGGAAAGGTTTGGATTATCCTCATGTTGATATTCGTCCCAAATGGGACGAAATGTGCTTGTCTTATATAAGTTGGTTATATGCTTTCTTATTTTATTGGTGGAATAGCCATCATCATGAAGTAATGGGTATTGGTTGTAATCGATTTTATTTTCCTCATTTCAGCATTTTGATTGAAATAGTAAAACACTGCAATATAAAGTCAAATACATTTCGTATCGAGTTTCACATAATCTCTTATAAATGATCCCATTCATCTACTGTTGGTGAAATGAATTCTCACGGACATAGGCGTTGAAATTGGTCGATCAAAACAAGTTAATATGGTTCCCATAACTAGCTAGCTTGATAAGATTCTTGTAGTTCGAGTTCATAGTTCCAGATATATGAAGTTTCAGTCAATAGTCCCCAATTTTTCATCTCACAACAGTCCCGGTTTTTGTATAACTTTCTCGTTAGTGAACAAAATGTTCAAACGATTTTTTTCATCCAATTAGTTTTATATTTAATTCTAGGCATTGAGATTCAAGAAACTAACAAAGGTCAATTAAATAAAATCAATAAATATATGGCGGTAATTAAAAAAATAAGGTAGGAAAAATAGTCTAGACTAAAAAACTAAGTTGTCACATTGCCCTAGATCTTAAAACATATTAAACATTGTCAAGGCAGATCCAAGTTTAGGACGAGCATTTTCTGTATTCAAAGGACGATCAAGTTTCCTGATAACCATAGCTTCTATAAACTTAAAAGTGCACTACTGACAGTCTCTATACGAGCCTTCAAAGCTGCTACAAGGTCGATCCCATGACCTGTTTCACTTATGTTTTGGAATCAAGGAGTATAGTAGTTTATTGAAGCATCTGAGACCAACTGATCATTACGCTATTTTGGAGCATGTTTCATCACATTTTTGATTGCGAAATTTGATTACTCCTCCCTATTGGTGTGTGTTCTCACACGTTTGTGAATTGGTAAATACAGTAGAATATGATAATCATTGATACGGTGTTTATGCCTATGAAGAATTATGGGTTTCTTTTCAAATAGCAACCAGTTATACAACATATGTTTTGATGGATGGCTTTAATCTACTTCAAAATCATGCTGCTTTTTTCTATCTTATAATGTAATTTCACCTAAAAGCTTTTTAAATGAAACAATCAGGAAGAGTTCTGACTTTAACTAACTTTTACACTTTAACGGATATTTGTTTAATGTTGATGTTTCAGTCACTTGTTCCGTATCCTGTTCAGTCGTATCTGTACTACAGATTCGTTAAATTCAATTAAAGTCATCTAATAAAGCCTCGTTTGTACTGGAGTGAACAGAAACTGTGGAAGCCTATATATTAATCAGTTTAGGTAGCCTTTTTACAAACTGATCTTATGGTTGCTTAATCTCCGACATGAAGTTTGTCTAAAATTATGGCTCAAATCACAATTTTCAGATTAACTCTGGCTTACTATAGTATTGGTATTTATTAGTAAGATTAATAGTTTTGAATGATATATCATGTTTTGATTATTTTAAAGATTACATATTAGGTTATTTCTCGTTAAAATGATTGATCAGTCATCAGCTAGTTGGGTGCGTTGTTGTTAGATAATCTTTCGGAAAGCTCATACTTCTGAGCTTCCCTTAACTGATGCAAACAATAACTGATGTTCATTTATCTTGAACTGAAATGTGAAAGGTTCATTTTGACTGTGGTCTCAGGATTTATCATTGTTTCACCTTCCCTAAAATTTATAAGTTTTCCTTTAATGTTTATTAATATTTCAGCAACTGGCTTCATATGAATGGCTTATGCCAAAAGGCATACTCAAAACTGGTTGGATGAAAAAACATCTTGAAGAAATACCTGCATTCGTTGCTTTATTTTACGATCTAGATTGGGACGAACCACAGTGGGGAGAAAGGTCAACTGAATGCGCTCAAATGGTGGCAACTGTTCGGTTGGTATTTTGTTTTTACTTATTTACTCATTGTAACTGAATTTAGATCAAAACTTGCTGGTCGTGAAAGTAAATTAGTGGTCATTCTTATACAGAAACGTGCCCCCTTACCTTTGGGTGAAGATCTTAATGCCATGGATCGAGCTCAATCTCTTTGTAATAAGTGTGATCTTCCTGGAAAGAATTTGTTTGTTTTGTCGCATACAAACTTACTTTATGGATGCATTACAAGGTATGGTTTTTAGTTGATTTACAATGATTCATGCAATCTTGTGTATTTAAATGAGTATAGGTAGATTGTAAAATGGAAATATGGGACTACAAAACATCTACTGCCATTTATAACTTTCGGACGGACAACATGTATTTTCCGTCACTGCTTAACATTATCTATCTAAACTCTTGAGTAGATGCAAGAAACATTTGGCGTTCAAACTTTAACTACTCGGTACCAGGTTCCTTTAATTCAGTCAGCTTTCAAACAGTAATGCAATCTGTTCAACTCATTATGCGAATGTGTCTAGCTTCATCTGTTCAGAAAGTAACTGTGTTTCACTCGATATTTCTGTTCGAACAAACAAAGATTTATTACAGAATAGTTGCAGTTCGCTTTTAAATGCACTTCTGATATCAATTAATAATCCTGCTGAATGTAGCGTGGTTGAATTGAACTATCATCCGTTAGCTAATCAATAGTCTCTGCATATGACCATAAAGATTTTGCATCTCATTTGCTTGTAACTTTAATAGACACAGGTCAGGATACAAGCTGGTGTCGATCATGGTGTAATTTTATACTTTCCTACATTAGAGATCGGAATTCTCAAAGAAACAAAGTTCATCTTGCTTGTGTTCTTACCTGAATTTTTTTGATAATATCCCTATTCTTTTTGTTATTAAGTGATTTCCTCTGTTCTATTTCCTCACGTTCGTCTCTGCCGTTAAGTTCTAGAAGTTGGTTTCCCCCATTGATTTCGAGTTCTTTAACTTCAGTAAATGAGATCATATTCGCGAGTCATATTAAGCACGAGGAACTCGCATATACTCTTCCATCTCTATGAAAAACACTTAATAAGTGAGCTTCATATCACCCACATTTGGATTTTTGAGAGCATATGGAAAAATAGTCGAGACCTATTCATTGTTAACCACATTTGGGTATTCACAATCTACGGGTAATCATAGTATTGAACATTCTGAGCTACGACTTTCTACCTGTTTTAAAGTCAGAGATTCAAAAACCAAATTGAGTCTATTATTTTATATTTAATACATTGTATGTATATATAATTTCATATTGACTAATAAGTTGATTGTTTTACACAGATTAGAAGATGAATTTCGTGATATGGCAGCTAACTACTACCACAATCAAGCTAAAAAAGTGAAAGCTCACAAGGATTCACTCAACAAAACTAGTCACCAGGTAATTTTTTATAAATCAACTGATCATTATTACTGCTGTTAAGATATGGATACCAACCACTTGCCACCTTTCGTTTCTGTATATTATGTAATTATTTTACCAATACATTTGTTAGGAACTTAATTGGATTGTAACTGTTGTTGTAAATGAAATAGCACTTTTTCCTCACTAATCAAGGTTGTTTTATTATTACCAACAATCTATTTAATTAGTTATATCCAATTTCTGGTAACTAGAACTAGTCTTAGTCTCTTACATTCATGTTTTTACGTAGTGCATTATCACAACAGTTTTGTTTAGACCATGGTTAAATTAATGACATCTTCTCATCCTCCATCAAATTGTTGAATATGGTTACAGGTGTTGTTAGATAAGAACTGTTGAGCTTTTTAATAGCTTATTAGTTGTCTTCCACTAATTAGACTATGTTCTTGAATTGTCTGCTAACTTGAACTATGTTAATTTTGGCTGTATTCTTAAATTATTTTTGTCAAGGCTTTCCAAAATGATAGTAAACTTTCCAAATAAACCTTTCTCTAACGGATGATTCCAGAGCACATTCCTTTCCAATGAATAGAAGAGAAGAAATGCAATAATTGTTCCACGCTTTATTGATTTGAAATAAGTACGAAGTCATAATATTACTTAACCTCGTTATTTAATAGCTTGCTATTTAACAGATTTTTTTCAAAATTTAATCGATTACAGTTATTGTTTGTTCGTCACGAGTTCAAAATTGCTTTCTATGCTGAATTAAAACAAGATCCAGGATTAGCGCTGAAGTAAGTTCATCCAGAGATGTATTTACTTATTTCTAATAATACGCGCTTTTTGTTTTTACCTTAAGCACACATTCAATCTCCTAGTCGTCGTGTAAGCGTTTTTAACGACAATGACATTTGAAATTATGTATTCTGAATTTTAAAAAAGTGTTGTCCGAATTCCTTCTCAAGTTCGTGAATTGTGTGTAACACGGGGTAGGTATATTTAGAGATTAGTAGTGGTGGAAATAATCCAACCCTAAGGCATTCGATTGTTGATACTAATGCTCATAGTGTATCTGTAGTGACATATTGTCTATAGCACTTGACTTTCAATTGTTTATTCTCAGGATCATACAGTGCTCCCACTACGATTTTACCAATCAAATAGGTTCTCCAACTCTCACAGTTAAATAGGTATAGCTCAAAGACTGGTACATAAAATTGTTATTGATTATGAAGCTAACTTTAACAGATGCAGTTGTATTGAAACTTTTGATCTTGCAGTGTGAACTCACACTATCTGATGCTTCTCAGATTTCTATATTGTACCAAAATATAATATTGAATAAAGCCATTAATAATAATAATAATAATAATAATAATAATAATAATAATAATAATAATAATATGCTGTGGCAGAGCTACTCAGTCAGTAAGTTACCTCGTTACTCTAGATTTGATAGACGTATTGACAAATATATGTTTATCATGCATACTGCATGCATCCTACTCTAAAAAGTTCTGAATTTGTTCCGTACTCTAGAAGCATCTAGTTAATTTCAGTACACAGTAACCGTTTTTTGTATTTCAGACATTATCAACAGGCATATAATCATTTAACAGAATTGAGAATGTTAGATGCTCATTTGCTAGAGGTGAAAACAGTAGCTGGATTTATTAACTACAAGGTAATTAATAACTGTTAACCATTGTATTTTTGGATAATTTTCTGAATCTAAAAGAAATCGTAGTCTCTGGCATCTCATTGATACCATATAAATGTAATCGGAATCTTGAAGATTAATGTCATATGTATCTTACATATGTTGTTTCATGTTTTGCCATGAAACACTCCAAATATGCTTATTATATCTCATCAATTGTTTTGATGATGGTCATATCTGACACTATACTAAAATCTATCATACATCTGTGTAGTCTCCTTGATCACAATTCGATATTAAGACATTTTTCTGATAGAAACTTCAATTGCTTGAACAACTTAGATTCGCTTATTCTCAGACCCACTGGGGCTTACTTAAGTTACTTTAGATAATGCGATAAGAAGTTTATCATAATTATGTGATACATTTACTTTGGATTTTAAGTAATCGGTCATTAGCAATTTAGAACCTGGCATAAAATGTATGGCTGCCCAAGTTGTGGCTCAAAATTAACATAGCAAAGTCAAATAATCGTAACGAATACTAAATAAGTGGTAGTGTAATTGATATTTTAATAATTACGCATAGATAATGAATAAATTTCAGGAATACAACGCGTATGATAATTTCTAAATGTGGTATCTAAGGCTGAACAAATAGTAAATGGATCTGCGCCATTACGACAAATTCTGAGACATATCACCCAACGTCTCCATGTATTGGCCGCAGTGATCGCGTGGACCCTAACCAAGAACTCTTCACTTACTGACATTCTCAGTTGTCAGTGGTTTCATTAACTGATGCCATATCTTAGTTCAGCTATCCCTAGCTTTCTTGTGATCGCCTACATCAATTATTACCTCTAGCCCGAGGTAAGTGGCAATCGGATAAACACAATTCATGTACCAAACACCTGCCTATGAAAATTCACTGCTTCGTCAACTGATTTGCCATCATTACATAGTACCGTACGTCACTTTAAGTCTACTCACCCGGTGGTACCTATATATATACACTTGCAACGAATGTTTTCCACGTTTTAGTCACAAAGTAAAACAGGAGAATGCTGCATAGAGTACTCATTATTTCGTCAGTAAACATCTCGCGAAAATCATTAGATGCCTCATTTGGTCAGTCTTCACCAAATAGTAGTATACCACCTACGTGCTCCAAGTTGATAAATGAATCTCCTGGTAGATAGCTAATCCCTGAAAAGTCTATGATGGGAAATTAGGTAGCCACTCATGGTAACGGTTCACCATAAACTCTGTCTCGACCAATAGTGTCCAGATAAAGAACCTTCACATGGTTTATGCACTTCTGTGGTACACCTTTTAGTGAATAACGTCAAAGAAATCACGTGTCTACGAAGTTGTATACTACTTTTTATTAAAGAAATACCACTATTGTCCGGTAAACTTCCATCGGAAACAATAACTTCGGGTGATGTTTGTCAGGGTTGTTCGCTTTCTTCATTTCCATTTAACTTTGTCGTTAACATCCTTTTAGAAATAACACTTTCATCGTCTGAATTTTCAGAGGTTGGTCTTCTGCCGGAAGGTTCACTTTACTTAGAATACACAGATGATGTAGTTCTGTTTAGTGAAAACGCTGACAAAATCCAGCCTTCTGACCACCTTTAGTAATAATGCATGCATGTTCAGGATGCGATTCTTTCACTCCAAATAAAGTGTTGCCTTAGGATTGGTCTGCGTCAAAGTCTGAATCACTGATAGAAAGTGGAGTAGTTGGACGCATCGGCCGCTCCATTCGTCTTGGGGGTCACATCATTCCTGATGAGCTTTTTTTTAATGAAATCTCGGTACACAATCAGAAAGCTCGACTGGCTTTTGCCGAATTGCGTCACTTGTGGCGTAGGTGAGATATCCGTCTAACAACTAGAAGACGAGTTAACTGTGCAGCAGGTCGCTCCGTCCTACTTTATGAATGTGAAAAGTGGCCATTAAAAATATGTGAAAGCTTCTAGTATTCAAAGCATTGGTCGTATATTTTCTGACCACCGAGTAATCAGTGTTTGAGTTAAGGATAGGGTACTAGATAAAGATAGGAACTCAGTTGATGAGGTAGCAAGTTTCCACCAGCTGATGTTGTTGGAACATGTGTTCTGTCTGTTCAACCACCACCTAACTCGATGGGAAATATTGCTTGATGCAGGAGTAGGCTGCAAGAAAGTTATGGGCGTCCAAACTAAAGCATAGCATTAATTCATAAAGTCATTGACAACTAGACTAAACCATGTTAATTGTTGTAGATTACCTGGTTGGGGTCTGTGTGATTACCGTAACCAATGTTTAAAGACTGACTGACATGTGTCAAACTGGCTTTCAATGACCCAAGTGCACCAACTCTTAGATCCTAAGTTTCTAAAGTTTTGACTTTTTCCGTATTTCACCAATTTATATCTTAAATTGTATCTTTAATGGCTAAACTTTCCTAATACCATTACTACTGTTGCTAACTCTACTTTCCTGGTATTTTGCCTGACAGTTTCATCTCTCTATGCTGATAGGATATAAGAAATCTAGACCGATGTATATACGTACTTGATTTCCCGCTGCAATTATCCCGATGTTTCGAAACGAAGGATAAATACTAATCGATATATCCACATACAAGTTTTGAGGCAACCTGGTTTTCTTGTGTTTTCCGTTCTGAGAATTATGATGCTGATATTTTAGAAATTATGTTGGTCGAACTAACTCCCACATTTACTACAAGAGAATTTGTACTCTTGTTTATAAAATGGATGACCAGTGATTGGTGCCATCCAGATAGAATTGTGTCCAGCTGGTATTTTTAGTTTCTCTATGATTATAGCATTTGGATTTTAATTATTAGTTCTAATTTCTGAACCTTGCTTTACCTCTTTTGGCAGCCAAGTATTGTCACCAGTCCTTCTACAAAAGTGTGACTAAAAGTTGACTATATGAAGCTGTACTTGGTTAGAGTTGTCTTGGAATTTGTCGCATTATCTTTTTGCCTATGCCACCGACGCTTTTTGTCTCTTTACATGACGTTGTCAACATCTCTGACTATATATCATTTTCGTTTAGATATGCCGCCTGTCTTTTCAAAATAATGCATCTGATGCAATATCACAATTTCGAAGACATATTAATTTTTTTGCTAATCTCGTCGGATTACCACAGTTAGCTTTTGAGCATGAAGCATGGATGTCAAAGCAGTAAGTGATATGTTGCATTATTTTATTTCCGTGTTGCATAAAATGTGAAGTAGTGATCATTTACTGAAAGGAGTGATATTCATTTTTGTTCCATACATAGTTCAATAGTTTATCTCTATTAATACGTCTTGTAAATTTCTTAGGTTTGAAATTCTTGGAGATCTTTTCCAAGAAGCTATCAAATCTAGTCTCACTCCCCTCATAACCCAACATCCTGGATTATATTACCAAGAAGCATCTAGACATGCTGTTTGCCGTCGTCAGTTATGTCAAGCTTTATGCATCCCTACCGTTAAAGCTGCTGAAATGAATGCAGATGACAGATTATACTATCCTTTGTCAACAGAATCTAATGAATCCACTCTTGGAATTGACGCCGCTTTCGCTATAGACAGCGGTCTCTTTGCCGAGGAAAGTGAATCTTCACCTCATTTACCGAATCATTCTTTAGAATGTTCCAAATCAAAACGTACAGCAATCAACACCGCTGTAGAGTTCGTTCGAGCTCAGTCACCTCTTTTGTTTAAAAAACAAATTTTTACAGCGGACAGTCCAAACTTATCAGGCTATCATTCACCCAGTCAAGTACCTGCAGTGGATTGTTTGTCAGCTACAGAGAAAATAAACGGTCTTGAATTTTACGGTCAGCGACCTTGGCGCCAAGGTATTCAAAGTATTGAACCACCAAATCCAACAAAAGAACGAGAAGGGATCTTAAGTTTGCAAAAAGAAGAACTCAAAGTAGATCATTCTGTAAGTTTTGTTATTTGTAGTATATTTTCAGTCAACCCAATTAATTAGTCCTATATTATGTTTGCAGATGTCTTCAGGTGTCGCCCCACAGTTAGCAAAGTGTGAATGTGTTTGGCTTTTAAACCTTTTTCTTATGACATTTGCTTATGACATTTATGCGAACACAAATGGGAACCAAAGTGAATATGCACTACACAAATAATAAAGTAAGTTTCTGAAGAAATAGAAGAGTGGATCTGATCGAAAATAAGTAAATGAAGCCAGATAGAATATCACACTCGATTTCAGAAAAGCTAATTCATTGAGTTGAGGTCGTTTATATAGGACAGAATTTCCACCACTAATGAGCTTCTGTGTGAGCTGGAAAATGAAGTCAACACAAAATAAATATAAATACGGATAGAACAAAGAAGCATAAAATGAATTTCTTTGTAACTAAGTCATCGCAAATACCGTTTGCATATATAACAAGGCGACCAAAAACGTTTTCTCGTAATTAATCATTTTCATAATTGTGTGTGGGTTAGGATATCATGGCCTTCAGACCGAAGCGATTAGTTTTCTCCTCGAGCATCTAACCTAAAGGTCTAGTCCAGATAGTAGTAAAGAAACGTCTGGGAAAGCAATCCCATGCTAACCAATGACCAAGAATATGTTCACACGCTATTCGACCCTTCAGGATCCTGCAGATCATGTGCACCATCGATTTATATCAGGGCTTTTCAACCCCCATAAGTGCATCATCTGTAGTCAACAACACCAAATACCCTGGTACGACCGAAAGTGGGGACAGTTCGCTCTCCTTCTCGAAATACTCTCACATGGCCACGCGTATATAGACTCTGCCAGGGAAGTCCTACTCTCTGCCTTCTCGTGGTGAGGGTGATGTTTACAGAATTTAGAGGACGAAAAGCGAATGTCTGGCGCTTTTACCTGGTTGGTAGACCTCGAGATTCCACCTAGGGAAGTTGGAAAACCCTGATTACAAACCAATGGTGCACGTGTGTTACAGTATCCTGAAGGAACAAATGGCGTATGAACCAATCGTTGGTCACCGGCTACCATGGGACTGCATCTCCTTGAGTTGCTCCATTGCCTTACGGACAAGAACTTTACGTCAAAGGAACTGCGACTCTTGAAGCGCTACAAATCACCACATCCAAATGACTTAATTCCAGCCTTTTTCAAAAAATGTCGCGACTTTCTGGTTAACGAGCTGACTGAATTATTTACAAAGGTCTGGTAATTAGAAAGTGTTCCAACATGAAATGAGCCGATGGGTTCACATCGTTTCTGCAACAATTATCGGAGGATAAGTCCACTTCCGATTACGTCCAACATATTAACTTTCGTCATACTTGGTGGATTGTTCAAAACACGAGAAGGATTGACTCGAGAGGAGAATGCTGGTTTCCCTTCTAGGCGGGGATGTAGTGATCATGTATTCACCCTCCGCCAAATATTAGAACACCGTCATAATTATCCCAGGCCAACAATCGTAGTGTTTCATGACATTAGGACCGCCTTCGATTTGCTGAACAAGACTCTCCTCTGGGACTATCTATTGAAGAAAATTGTATATGAGAAGTTTATTAATATCTTGAAGGCACTATATACTAACACCTCGGGCAGAGTGAGCTCATACAACAACCTCTCTCCATTGTTCTATTCAAGTAGTGTGTTTAGGCAGGGTCGCTCAATCTCACTATTCCTCTTCAACTTTCACATCATGACTTTCCGAAAACAACTCTGATGGATGTAGGTAATGGTGGTGTGGATCTGTTGCCTGATGAAAGACTTCTCGACCTTGAGTATGTGAATGGTATTGTGTTACTGTGCGATGACACCCAAACCATACAATCCGCACTTAATCGGTTGGCAGTCAATGTCCGTAGGTACAACTTGTGCTTTGCACCTTCCAAGTGCAAAGTACTTTTATAAGACTAACAGGACCGTGAGCATGCGCTCACCCTAGGTAGTGAGCAGATAGAAGTGGCTACGAAGTCCGTGTATCTGGGTAGCTGAGTAAGTTCTGGTGGTGGTGTGAGTGATGAGATCAATCCACGTATAGTGGAGGCCAGAGCGGCTTATGACAATCTAGGTCTTCTTTGACACCTTTGTGATATTAGTCTGGTTGTAAAATGTCGGATCTACGACGTGTCGATGAGAGCCGTTTTGCTGCATGCTTGTGAAACCTGACCTCTCCGAGTTGGCTCAGAATAGAAGCTAGTGGTGATTCTACTTTCACTTTCTTCACAAAAGTGAATGTAACTTCTTTAACTTGAAGAATTTTTTCTGCTTTTCCAATTATTATTATCATTATTCCACTCTCATACACTGATTTCTGTTCATTGTCGCACTTTACATTCTCTATCACTTCACGACCTCATTGTTATTGTGTAGTGCATATGTATTTGGTGCCCCCTTGTACTAATGTTTATGTGTTCAAATAAACCAATGAGTACGTAAACGAACAATTATTAGTTCACTATCATGTAATGATCTGCTACATGAAATCATGCTGTTGAATTCGCTTTACCCCACTCCCAACATGTAGATCCTATTTATCATCTTGTGAATAGGTTTCGTTATTTGTTGATGTCTTTTTTCTTACTTCACAAGTTACATGGAGTCATATTCTGTTAGCATTAAAAGTCTATTATTTTTGTGGTAATAAATCATACTCTATTCATCAAATATTTGTTAATGAAGGCATGATATATTTTGTTTTTTACCGAAGTTATTTTCTCTACAATTATAAACACTGTTAGTCAGAGTCTTTCAACGTTATCAGTACTTTTGAAATTTCAGAGTTTCATTATACCACTGCTTGAACAAACTCGATTACAATACAAACGATATAAAGCTGAACGAATGAAACTATATCCGTGTGAGTGAATATTTTAAGTGCTTCTATTGTTTTTTATTGCCATTATTGAGTATCCAACCGTAGATTTTACCACTTTTCTTTTATTCACGCTTAACACGAAGAAAATTACGATAATAAATTGCTACGTTTTAATATTTTTGAGATAAGTATTTGAGTAATTTATTAGGTTTCACTGGTTCTCAAGATCTATGGGTTCGATGTTTCTGTGCCACTGCGATCTTTTTTTTTTGTTTTTTGACGTGTAATTTGACAGTTTGTGGTATTTCTTGTGTTACGAAGCAATTATGAATCATATGTGCACATACAATGTTCATTAAGATATGACAAACTTTGTTTCCGGAAGATTACCACATCCACAACTCATTACTGACATTATGCAGTTCATAGATTAGATTCATTCGACTTTGTTCTCCTAACGTATCATCAATCAATGTGTACATGTAGTAACAATATTCCATTTTGTTAGCTCCAAGGCTGTATTTGTGAACTTTGTCTACTTGGTTTAATCAAGTTTCTATATGTGCATCTGTGCTTAATTTTCAGCATTCATGAATTTCAATTTTAGTTATACAATCATTGTTTTTTCTCGTCATTATTTCCTAGGATGTTTCACTTAATTGAATCGTATACGAATTTTAGTTCTATTTGTGATTATGTAACCACATTTGTTTAATATTATAGCACTATACAAATCTTTGATCAGCTTTGTCAGTTTATCTTTTTTACTCATTTTTATTCCAGGTATTTTAATGGGTTCCGAATATTATGATAAACAGGATTATGATAAGGCTCTCAGGTGAACATCAAAATAAATAATTGACCACTTCTTTTTTAGTTGCTATTTAAGCGTAATCAATGAATATCGTACCGAAAAATGGTGGTCTCTCTATACTTTCACACTGAAGCGAATTGCAACGTAAGTGTTATAACAAAACAACACCAGTATATTTACACTTTTCTTTAAGTAACAGCTTATAGTTCTCCCGTTTAGGCGCAATTGTTTTCCTACTATATCGCATGTGGTAGTTTTGTGAGACGCTAGAACTTAGATTTCTTTATGAAGGTTTATTAAATTCCTTTGTCAATTAGTTTAGTAACTGGTTTTAATTTTCTAATCGTTAACGTTTAATTTGTGGTAATGATTAGAACATTACGCTTACAACCACATATAAACTGATTCGTTATTCTGTAAGGTAAATGGGAATGTTTCTCTTTGAAGTTTTTTTGGGAAATTTTGAATAGACTTTATATGACAGTTATCCACAATGAAAATTAAGTCAGCTGTACTTCGTAAACCTAATATTGTGGCAACATTCGCAGCCATGATTCATTTAATTGGATTGCATATTTCACTAAATATTCACTTAAATATCTTTCCAAAAATCATAAAGTCTTATTATTTTATTCAGTAGATAAATAAAACTGTTCCCTTTTTTAGATGCGCATATTTGATAGCTCAGCCCACAGTTTTTCTATCCTCATGTTTGGAACTTCTTGGACCCAGTAAGTTGTCTCCTACATCATTTGTAGTGCACATTAACTTCATCATATACAATGTTTTGTATTTTAATTTCATCTGATTACTTTCTGTCCTTTTTTTAGCAGTTCAGGTTATTAATATGAAATTTGAAAAGGTCTAAAATAATGATTTAAGCAGATAAACATAAATTCGTTTTTTTATTAGGTTTTTGTCAGTCGTTTACAACTTGTAATATTTTAAGATCAGAAATTTAAATAAAGTTTAATTTACTTATCGAAATCAGTTCAGTTAGATTTTAGTGCAAAAACATATCAACATAATGAAGTAAACATACATAAAAAATTCGAAAAGGTTGATTAAGTGATCGTAAACATATGCGATTCCTAGAACATCAATTAAGGTAATACCAAAAGATCATCAGTTAGTAATTAAGTGTTTATATGATGAATTAATGAACACAGGTTAAGAATAAGATTAGAACTTCATAAAATATAATATGATGGTGCTTCCAAACAAATTAGGTTTGAGAAAACGATCGTATAATATAATGACCAACTTACTGCGGCAAAGAATACTACTAAACTTCTTTTTTGAACAAACAAATTAAGTTTCAAGCGTTTAGTAGCTCCGGTGAATTTTAAAATGTTAGAGCTTGTTTATTTATTAAATACAGAAAAGTTTAGTTTTTTTCATGTCACTGTGATGCCTATAGCTCACACCATTAAAAACTTTTATTCCTTTAAGTGGAAAATGTTTTACGATATGTTCGTAAAATTTAAGACAAAACTTTCTGTCTTACTTTGAGAGGTACACTTAGATCTGAACAAACATAGCAAAAGTACTTATAGATCTTCGGTTGTTCCGTATCAAATAACTGACATTATTGCTGTAAATAAATTCATCATTTGAACCTGATGTGATAAGGGTTTAACACAGAATTAATCATTACCTTATATTATCTTTAATAATTTTGGTTATTTATCTGAAAATAGCTCAGGCTAGATTGTTTGACAAGACGTCGGAATAGTTTAAACTGGTTTACTATTATCATTCCAAATGTAATTTGTAATGCCCTGGTACGGCCGACGGTGGGGAGAGTCATCTCTCTCTCTTTAAGTGCTCTCACATGGCCACGTGTATACAGCCACGCCTACGGAAGTCCTACCTTCTTGCGGTGGGTTGTTGTTTACCAAATTTAGAGGACGGAAAGCGAATGTCCAGCGCATTAACCGGGTTAGTGGACACGGAGGATCTACACAAGGGAGTTGGAAAACCCTGATTCCAAACCAATAGTACACATGGGCTACATGATCCCGAAGGAACAAATGGCCTATGAACCTGTTGTTGGTCACCGGCTACCATGGGACTGCATCTTCTTGAGTTGCTCCACTGCTTTGTGGATCAGACCTTTAGGTCGAAGGCTCTGGGTGTGGTCCCCTAAGAAAATCATCTGACCTGCTCTGGACACCCATCAGTATCATAGCCCACGCATAAATCATGTGACTTGTGTGGCACATATGTATTCGGTACCACATTTTACTAATATTTATGTGTTCATATAAATAAAGAATTTCTACCAAACTGTTCGTTTGAATTCGGATTAATGTTCATATAAATTTTATTGTTTGCAGTATCTGAGTTATTCGGTACATACACGGACCTCCGTTTTATGTAATCTCATTTCATCATTGATGGATAGGACATGCTTTGAATTTTTCCGTTTACCTAACTTGTTTTCACGAAATTAGTTGGTTTTGCTTTTCAATTCTTATGTCGTTATTATTACTTTTGAGCGTTTTTTTCTTTTTTAACTTTTCCTTTGTTTTTCATTGACGTTCTAGATAGCTTGGTGCCTCTCTGTGAGAAAGTGCAAGTTCAACAAGCAATTTTTGATTTCCTTAAGGTAATTTATCAATTGTTCTGTGTATATAGTTGTTGCGAACAGCGAATTCTTGATGAGCGTGTATGGTTAGCTTCTGTGTTGTAAGTAAACAGAATAAGATGTGTTATATTTCATCGGTTTGATATTTTTGTATTATGTATAAAGTAAGAATAATAATACCTGGAAACACATCAATCAACTATGAACGTTCGGGTTCAAGCTTGACATAAATGTTAATAATACGTAAACAATGAGGCTGTGGAATAATTTAATTATTTTTATATATCGCTGACTTACTCCATGGAGCAACTTAATTGTTAGTCTAATCTTAATAGAACGTTCTTGGAGTTCTATTCAAGACAATTGATATAAACATATTTACTGTTTGTTTCGTTTTCGAACAGTAACGATTTTTCTGTTTGGATATGTTTAAAAAAGGGCTTCATCTTACTGTCTCAATTTCACTTTTAGTTCCTAATATGCTAAATAATTTTTTTCTTATTTTAGACCGGAGTTCCTAATCTCATAATGTTTTCACCTGAGCTTGATCATACTATAAAAACTATCGAAGACGGGTGGAAGAAACAGTTAGACTTATTAATACAACATACTTCGAATACTCATTCGGACGTCGCACATAATGAATCGGTCAATGAGAACAAAGTGGATATCGAGAAAAAACCACAAAGTTCAACTGATTCACATTTTGATGAAAAGTATAGAATTTCATTGGACATTACCCGAATTAATACATGTAGTAAGTGTGTAAATAAAGGGATAATCAATATTAAATACCAAATAAACTAACAGATAATTTCACTTTCATCTAATGTCATATAGAACATTGGCTTATTCGTTAAAGCATTAAATCTTCAGACAGAAACGAACCCCGCTCCATCTATTTTGATTTTGCCATTTAGTTGGAATTATAAATCGTCCCACACATTCACAATATGTCTCAAAACAGAGTACATAATCTAATTAAAATAGAAGAAAAATACTTAACGAATAGTTGCTTTAAAACGTATTTTTCATGTTTACTACTCAATGTAGCCCAACAGATACATAGTGACGTCCATTCGCTCCCAAGTTTAGTATGTTTGGTCCCAATAATTTAGATCTTGTGAACTTTTCTATGATAATTCATTCTTGTATTGGTTGTTTAAATCTTTTCATTGATGTTTAGGACTGCAATTGATCAGTGTCTTATTAACATATAAGCATCCTGTGCAGATTGCCTTGATATTGCCTCAAGTATAAGCATTATAAGCAGAGTTGAAGCGAACGGTACTGGGCTCGAGTCCCAGATTAAACACCAACTCTGGGTTTCAGGTTTATTCAGTTGATCAGTCCCAAATAGGACGACATGCGCGTCCTAGATTCCACTGCTAGCCACCATCATCTTTTTATGATAATTTATAAATTTACATTTAATCTTCCCAAACACTGCCATCTGAAGTTCATTTATTAAACGTACTGTTGTTAAATCATATCATAGAAACCATTCCTACTCTATTGATCTCATCATTATTTTTCTATTTCAGTACAATGCAAAGCTTGCTTTTCACAACCAGCATATACTTTTGGTCAACCAGTTCAATTGGCTGTTTTCTTACGGTATTCTATTATTAATTTCGTTTTTTATATTAATTAATTGGCATTCTGTTGTCTTTTTAACTGTTTTTTTAATTAAGTTGATTTTCAGTAGTCTTTAAATTGATCTAGGCGAACAAATACTACTACATTGTGCTTCTAAAAAGGTGCATCAGTTAAACTTTTCTTACTTTATAACAGCTCAACAAGAAGAGTTTATTAGGAATTAATAGTTTATTATGATAAACAAGAACGTTATCGGTAGAATCTCAATGTCTTAGTCTGGCGGGGCTGTAGCGGGTGCTGTCAGCGGCGAGGAACGGTTGGAAGCGCGGCTTCTGGGCGGACATGGGGTGTAGATGGCTCAGCAGGTCAGTGGTGTACGGGTGTTAAGCGTCCCAGGTGCCGAGTGGATGTCGGATGTTGTTGTCCCGGCAGGTCGATGGAGCTATAGAAGTCAGCGCGCCGCAGACTCGACATTTTGACGGAGAGTGTGGCACAGACTGCAGAAACCAAGAATGTTGCACGGCGAACATGAACCACCACAAGAACGACTGCTTTAAAGGTAGAGACGAGTGTGGTGCGTGCTACTTATTTTGATATAAGTAGTATATGACGCGAGACAAATGTAATGTCTGGCAGCAGAAGGTGACGGAAGATCAAGAAAGCAAGAGCGGGAATAGAATGCAATTTGTATGAAAATGCAAGGACAATGAAGTCTGAGGCATTTTGAAACAATTGCTGGACATTTTGCAAATTAACGATTTAATATATGGTTCTCAGATTTTATTAAGATGCTCTGTAGTGTTGTGTTAAATACTTTCGGTTGTCCCCACCCGTATTCTGTTCACTACATTAGTACTGTAGTGAACAGAACACGGGTGGGGACAAACGGATGTAGTTAGCGCAACAATTACAGTCTATCTCAACAAAATCTGAATACCATATAGTTAATCGTCAATTTGCAAAATATTCATGCATCAAACCAAACTAGACTGTTTCTGTTGCAAACACCAATCCATTGTCTCCCATTCCATTGTTCATGCATTTTCTTACAAATTCCAATATGTTCTCGCTCTACCTTTCTTGATCTTCGCCATCTTCCGCTGCCAGACATCACGTTCTTTTAACGCACGTTATATACTACTTATATCAATATAAGTAGCTCACACCACAGTACTTGTTACCAACTTTAATATTTTGTATCAAACTGAAAATAATCTTTTTTAGTCTTGTTACTTGGGCAATACCATAGTATACGAATCTCCAAAGGATATCGAGTGATTTGTATTTTTTTAGTGAATGATATATGCAATGTAAAAGGCTCAAGCATTGTTACCTAAATGGGTAAACCTGACTAAAATTGTATATCTGGTGGAGACTTTTGACGTCTTTTCGATGCATCATCGTAAATCATCGATTAGACGGTATAAAAAGACCAATATTTGAATATTTTTTCGATAAATTCTCTGAAGGTTTCACAATTATATATCCAAATTAATAAACTGAAAATTTTCCAGGTTAAGGGCAAAGTACATCGTTTAAAGTTGGCATATGAATTTAGAATTGTCTTGAAAATTGAAAAAAATTGTTCATATTGATATGACTCACATAGAATCTCGATTTGATTCAGATATGATGGGGATCTTTAAACAAATTTCTTATCATAGATCACGAACGGGTCTTGGCTGGACCACCATCGAAAACCAGGAAGCATTAGATCACCCTCTCATTCTAGTATTAGATTCAGCAGCGCTAAGATCAGTTCATAATTTAAACTGTGAAGTTTCTACGATCTTCACAAATTCCCTATACTAATATATATATATATATATATATATATATATATATATATATATATATATATATATATATTACCACCTTTTACCTAACCACTGTTATGAATCCGGTGTTCATCTTGTTGTGCTGATGCGGTATGGCAACCTGGACCGATGCACATATGTGCCTGGTCCTACGTTGTAGCTGACTGACTGACTGACTGATATATTGTTAGTTAGCCACTTGATCTTATTTATTAGCGATGTTAAACCGCATTATCTTCCACTATGACTATTTCAAACAGAAGAATTGCACATAATCGAGTATAGTATCTCATGACCAGTGTTAATGATAGTGTTTCCTTTGTTTTAGCCTTCTGCATCTGACTACTTTCGATCCTGTTTTGTATTAATTTTGGTTATTTCTTTATTTTTATTTCTAGGTCCTTTGCTCCTTTACCCATCCTTATCCACCATGTCACTGTGAATTTTTCTAACAAGGTAATCTAAGTAGACTTATCGTCATATCACCTGATCATTTCACCGTGTTCTTTTGGTAATCCTAAACTATATACTATTTTAGTAATTTGCACACATCAAACTAGTGAATTATTCAATCAAATGTTTTTTCAATTAGTTTAATTAAAACTAGTTATCAATACACAAACCATTGTTATTTAGAGGACCGATAAAAAGTCAGGTACTATTTGCCAGCTTACTTATTCTGATTTGAAATGGTTTAGCAATGTACATACCTGACCATACATATAAGATTTATTTATTGAAACACATAAACATTAGTATAAGGGGGCACCAAATACATATGCACTACACAATAACAATGAGGTCGTGAAGTGATAGAGAATGTAAAGTGTGACAATGAACAGAAATCAGTGTATGAGAGTGGAATAATGATAATAATAATTGGAAAAGCAGAAAAAATTCTTCAAGTTAAAGAAGTTACATTCACTTTTGTGAAGAAAGTGAAAGTAGAATCACCACTAGCTTCTATTCTGAGCCAACTCGGAGAGGTCAGGTTTCACAAGCATGCAGCAAAACGGCTCTCATCGACACGTCGTAGATCCGACATTTTACAACCAGACTAATATCACAAAGGTGTCAAAGAAGACCTAGATTGTCATAAGCCGCTCTGGCCTCCACTATACGTGGATTGATCTCATCACTCACACCACCACCAGAACTTACTCAGCTACCCAGATACACGGACTTCGTAACCACTTCTATCTGCTCACTACCTAGGGTGAGCGCATGCTCAGGGTCCTGTTAGTCTTATAAAAGTACTTTGCACTTGGAAGGTGCAAAGCACAAGGTGTACCTACGGACATTGACTGCCAACCGATTAAGTGCGGATTGTATGGTTTGGGTGTCATCGCACAGTAACACAATACCATTCACATACTCAAGGTCGAGAAGTCTTTCTTCAGGCAACAGATCCACACCACCATTACCTACATCCATCAGAGTTGTTTTCGGAACGTCATGATGTGAAAGTTGAAGAGGAATAGTGAGATTGAGCGACCCTGCCTAAACACACTACTTGAATAGAACAATGGAGAGAGGTTGTTGTATGAGCTCACTCTGCCTGAGGTGTTAGTATATAGTGCCTTCAAGATGTTAATAAACTTCTCATATACAATTTTCTTCAATAGATAGTCCCAGAGGAGAGTCTTGTTCAGCAAATCGAAGGCGGTCCTAATGTCATGAAACACTACGATTGTTGGCCTGGGATAATTATGACGGTGTTCTAATATTTGGCAAAGGGTGAATACATGATCACTACATCCTCGACCAGAAGGGAAACCAGCATTCTCCTCTCGAGTCAATCCTTCTCGTGTTTTGAACAATCTACCAAGTATGACGAAAGTTAATATGTTGGACGTAATCGGAAGTGGACTTATCCTCCGATAATTGTTGCAGAAACGACGTGAACCCATCGGCTCATTTCATGTTGGAACACTTTCTAATTACCAGACCTTTGTAAATAATTCAGTCAGCTCGTTAACCAGAAAGTCGCGACATTTTTTGAAAAAGGCTGGAATTAAGTCATTTGGATGTGGTGATTTGTAGCGCTTCAAGAGTCGCAGTTCCTTTGACGTAAAGTTCTTGTCCGTAAGGCAATGGAGCAACTCAAGGAGATGCAGTCCCATGGTAGCCGGTGACCAACGATTGGTTCATACGCCATTTGTTCCTTCAGGATACTGTAACACACGTGCACCATTGGTTTGTAATCAGGGTTTTCCAACTTCCCTAGGTGGAATCTCGAGGTCTACCAACCAGGTAAAAGCGCCAGACATTCGCTTTTCGTCCTCTAAATTCCATAAACATCACCCTCACCACGAGAAGGCAGTGAGTAGAAGTTCCCTATCAAAGACTGTGTAAGAGAGAGATATCGGCACCAGGGATAATATTGTTCTCTTAAACAATTTTTTATCACTTTATTCTACTTTGAGTTTTTTTTATCTCATATCAGATAATTTTACATTTATCTCGTTGTTTACTGTGAATACATCAGCAATTATTTAAATAAATGCATTTGTAGGAATCTAAATAAATCTCATTTATTGTTGCACTTTTAATTGTGTGTGCTGGTTTATATTCAAACTTACTCAGTAAAATTATCACTTTATATCATTTGCTTAAAGTCCTATAACTAGTTAAATGTGGAATGTTTTGCATAATTTTATGATAACTTGATGAGATGCAGTTCTTCTTTGTTTTTCTGAATTCTCTCATTTTTAAGAGATAATCAGTTCTAACTCTAGATTATTATACAGTAAACTGCATATTAGCGATAGTCATTCGTTGAGTTCCAATTATGTTTTTTTTGTGTTAATCCTGTCAAAACTTATTTAACTTTTATCTCCATTCTAGTGATACTGAAACTTTTGTTATCTATTACAATTAATACCATTAGGTCGAGTGTCCAACGTCTTCACTTAATACACCACCTAGTACAATAAACAAACCTTTGATAGGAAATTTTTCAACTCATCAGACATCGCAAACATGGTCGTCTAAGTTTATTCTGGATTCAAAAGAAAAATTCAAAGTGATTCTGTTATGCCTTAATCCAGACGTACTTGGTAACCAAATTAAAGTAAGCTAGTATGTACATACCACTTATTTTGTTAGGAATTTTTCATTAGAATCATTAAAAAATTGTATCTCATATTTCGAACTTTCCATGCTTTTGATACTTACTGGAGTCAATATAACGTATTCTCAAGCTAAAATCAGACGTATGTGCAATTAGTATGTTGAAACTGGTTACTTAGCTACATCTGAAGAAACGTCTGACTTTCCTATCTTTGTGTCCACGAATATCGACTATACACCGAATACTACAGCAGTTTATTAGTTATAAATTGCTCTTGATACGCTTTGAACTGCAATAGAAAACGCCGTACCCTATTAATTGATAGAGTAACGACTACAACTACGACAGTTTAAACAACTTAATTGAAACGTTATATATTAAAATGGAGAAATTAATTACATTTCCTTAATTATTAGCAGCTCTATCCAAAATGTAATAGTTGGGAAGTACATCAGAAGTTACTATACATGGGTTGGTACAAACATTTTTATGATTTCCTTGATTAATTGCCATTTTTTAATTCCGTCAATAAACTGCTGTTCCCACATCTCAAAGAAAGTAAGCTATAAAAAGTACTTCAACCTTTCCTTTTAACGGATTCCCAGTTTATGGTTCTGTAAATTAAGAAACATTTCTGTTTGACAACCGGTTCTGTTCTTTATTTTTAATAGCCCTGCTCTGTAGAAAAACTACAACTGTATACTTTAGTTTTAATTTTTCATACAGAGAGAAAATTGCCATACTAACGATACTAATGTTGTAAGTAATTGACTATCTTTAAGTAATATTTTGTTTTTACCGAGATATAATTTTCATTAAGATTGATGCAACAAATTGCATGTTACTGTGTGATTTTGAAGAGGACGTACATGAGATCTTAAAACTTTTGAATCTCTATATCTTTTATATTGATTACATCTTAAAAAATAGAGCCATGTTACAATAAAGGAACAAATACATTTATTCCTGATTCCCATTTATATCGATTGTTTACTCCGTAAAATGTGATTGACTTTTAATAAGCTCTCTCTTTTTCACTAGGTTGATTCAATTCATTTGTGTTTATCACCTTCTATGGTTAATTGTCATAAAGATATTATTGATGAATTAATATTGTGTACAGTTTCATGGCAATGGAATACAAAATCAGATTATCATCCTTACGTAAGTGGTCGTAAAACTATTGGTCATAAACATCATAATCTAAAGAAACAGCATGATGTGTTACATGATAATGTGAATACCATTAGTAATAATAATTGTGGTTTATGGTGCAAAGAGGTTGTTCTTTCAGTGCCAGAACGTCGAATGCAGAAAAACCCTATTAAAATTGAATCCAATGGATTCATAATTAATCATGGATTTCCTAACCTTCCACCAGACTGGGATATTATCGACAGTCGAATTCGAACAGAGTAAGTTTTACGTGCTCCTAATTAATTACTTAACGCATAATTGATAAATTCACATCATGGAATACTTAAGTTATATTATAAGAAATCGACCTTGTCACAAAATACTAACAATTTTATTCACTATCTAGATAGCCATTTTTTCGATTCTAATAGTTGCTTTGAAATGCACCTTCAAATAAAGTTTGGTTTTCTTCTAGTCGATGTTTAAATGTGTTTTGTTTACGATTCATGCGCAACTGGCACTAATATAGAATGACAAAGTCTGTGAGTTTTATCATTCAAGAAATACCCAGTTTTGATGTGAAGTTGGTTGTAAAACATTTAGTTTATACTGATCTGATCTACTAATAACACTTGCCTCTCCATCATTGAATTATTCTGTTTAATTGAACTTCATTTGTGGAATTTATGCTTTAAAATTAATTGGATTTTTCGAATTCTAGATTTTGAGCGGTTACACATTAGCTCATAATTCTTGGCTTTAAAACATCTGTTCTATTTCCATTTGGTTGTGTCAGTCATCATTCGCATCAATGTATATCAGTCTAAGTCTGTACATCACTCAGCATAATGAAAAAGGAAGCCCTAACGCTAATTAACGGATCGGAATTCCTATCAACCCAAATATGAGAAATAATGGAGTAAATAAGATCGTAGAACTAAAATCACAGAATGACATTAAACTCGAAATGTTAAGAGAAATGGGGAATAATACATTTCCAACGCCGTGAACGATTATGGGGCATTTTACCCAACGTCTCCAACTTTCATTTATTTGATTAATGCACATAAATTGCGATACAACCAAATACCAAAAATAGACTCCCACAGAGTACGGCAATAAAATTGTTAAGAAAAAACAAAATGGAGGAATGGGGAGTATACTCAAAGAGTAATGAAAAATTAAGCAAAGTAAATGAACGAAATTCTTATCAGCTAACAATATAACTGAGATTTTTTCCGTTAAAGAAGCTCACCTAATTTTCACGAGGAATTTGACAGAGTCCTACGTCAGAATCATCATCGGCTTCGATTTTAACCCACATCTGATGCCTAAAACCACTGAGTTTCACTGTCGCACCCCAACCAGCGAGTTGTGATAAACCGACAGATCCCATTCTTATACGGTTTTCTCTCATAATTCAGTCGTGTATTACAAACTGATCACCTCTCCGCTTCTTCTAACCGTTCCGAAAGTTGATAAATTCGCTGGGACGACATTCTTAACACATATCAAAGTCGGTGTTTTAATTCAATCGCACTAATTAAGTTATCGTTGCTAAACCTGAACATTACTACTGGACGTCAACAGTTCTTCGCAGACGACGTTGATTGAATACAGTCACCAAATGTCTTCAACTCAGAGGCCGGCTCCCCTAGCATAAAACTAACTTGGTCTCACCGAGATGTAAACACAACGTTTTACATTCAGACTAATATCATTTGCGATTGATGAAAAACCTTCAATACGAAGCAAAAATTCATCAACAGCTAGTAACATGCCTTAATTCAGTTTGAAATGATTTGGATTTTCCTATTGTTGAATTTTGAACTGAAATTTAATCAGTCTTGGTTGGCATATGTGCATTGCTTTGATATACCCATTATGACACAAGTTAATATAAAATAGATGATATGTGACCGGCAGTAGATAACGCGGTATCCTTCCAAGCGAACGTCAACTCAGAGATGCAGGTACGTCCAGCCAACGAGTCCTGAATAGGATGAAAAATGCATCTTAGATCCCACTGCTAGTCATATCCCATGTATTCTACAGTAACTTTATGGTTTGCTATTATATCGTTGTCTTCTATACTAGTCAGTTGTGGATGTCGAGGTAGGTGAGTGATTAGGCTGGCATAGTGTTCCAACCGTCTCTGTCGACGAAGGTTTATAACTTTATCAATTGACTAATATATTTCACCCAAAGCCCTACGTCTTACTCCAACAACTTCCACTTTCACAATACATGCGCAGTACTTCGAATACACCTATAGTTAAATGATTTCAAGTGACACTTGTTTTATACTTGTACAAGTCATGTTTCTTAGCCGTACAGCAATATAGAATGGACGTCTGCTTACTGTAATCGCTGCGAGCTTATGGCGAACTGTCATCTACTTTTGCAACCTCAAGTGGTGTCCGTCAAGGATGTCCACTTTCCCCATTTTTGTTTAACTTCATCATAGACCTACTGATGGAAATAACTTTCTCGTCGACTGAGTTCTCGGGTATTGATCTCTTTCCAGGAGGTCCACTTATCGACTTAGAATACGCAGATGACATAGTCCTGTTTAGTGAAGACGCTGACAAAATGCAAAGTCTTCTGGTAGCACTGAGCAACAATGCCAGAATGTTTGGAATGCGCTTCTCTCCCTCGAAATGCAAGTTGTTGCTTCAGGACTGGTCTGCGTTAACACCTGAACTAAGGATAGGGAGTGAAGTAGTCGAACGCGTTGACAACTTCACTTATCTTGGAAGTCTGATCAGCCCTAATGGGTTGGTATCGGACGAAATCTCAGCACGGATTCGAAAAGCTCGTTTGGCTTTTGCCAACTTACGTCACCTGTGGCGAAGGCGAGATATCCGTCTATCAATAAAAGGACGAGTATACTGCGCGGCAGTCCGTTCTGTTTTACTTTACGGTAGCGAAACATGGCCATTAAGAGTAGAAGACACTCGCAAGCTGCTAGTATTTGACCACAGATGCCTTAGAAATATTGCTGGCGTCTGCTGGGATAATCGGGTAAGTAATAGTGAGGTTAGACGCAGGGTATTAGGAAAGGATGGTAAATCAGTTGATGAGGTTATGAATCTTCATCGACTGAGATGGTTGGGCCACGTGTTACGTATGCCTGAACACCGATTACCACGACGTGCAATGCTATCCGGTGTTGGGGATGGTTGGAAGAAAGTTAGGGGCGGCCAAACCAAAACGTGGCATCAGTGCTTGAAGGCACTAACCTTTAGTCTGAGCCATGTTGGTAGATGCAGACTACTTGGTTGGGGTCCGCGTGACTATCGTAACCAATGGTTGGAGACTCTTGGTGACATGGCTCAGAATCGATCACAATGGCGTAGGTGTATACACTCGGTTTCTTCCCTTAAACTAAGAGATTAAAAGCGCTTCATATCTTTCTTTCTACTAACCAATTCTTTCTTCTTGTACTATATCTCTATATGCAATCTTTCTCTTATATATTACCACCTTTTACCTAACCACTGTTATGAATCCGGTGTTCATCTTGTTGTGCTGATGCGGTATGGCAACCTGGACCGATGCACATAAGTGCATGGTTCTACGTTGTAGCTGACTGACTGAATCGCCGCTTGATAAACAGACGAACATATTTCCTTCATGATTGTTTATTTGTTCAACAACTAAGGAGTATCAACTCTAGTAGGTATATGCTGTATGCCAACAGACATCAGATGTAGTTGGCTCAACAGGTCGCTGGAGCTCAGGAGTCAGACTTGACAGATGCTGGGCGGACATCGGGTTGGATGACTCGGTAGTTCGACATTACTACGGAGATCAGCGCGCCGGCTGACTCGACATTTTGACGGAGAGCGTGACACGAACTACGACAAAGAAGAAAATGGTACGGCAAGCAGAACAACCACAAAAGCAACTGCTAAAAGGGAAAACGAGTGTGGCGGCAGACACAAGTATTGTGTAACACCAATCAGAAGTGGAATGCCTGGCAGCAGAAGGTTGAAAAGATCGAATTGAAGAGAACGGGAATGTAAACAGAGATTTATTGTATTAGCAATGAAGGAACGATGAAGTTTGAGATAATTGATGGAAGGTTTTTAAATGAATTACTCAATATATCGTTTTTCACATTTTACGACAGAACTCTGTAATGCTGCATTTAATAATAAATTGGTCTTCCCTACCTTACTGTTTGTTCACTACAGGTACATACAATATTCTTTGTTATGTTTTCCTTTGAGCGATTACAGATTTATTGCATTATTCAGTGATTAACATTCATTGCATTTTTCACCTGTTCAAGTTGTTTACAATATTTACAATATTCAATTACGTATTATATAGGATGCATCATCCATCTTCCGGTTTAGAAATTACTATGCCAGAGAATGTTTGTATACTGGCGAATGAAATTTCTCAAATAAAGTTAACTATTCGCAATCCAACACAAAGTGACTGTACTAAACTTAAGTGAGTTTTAGTTTTAAGTATATTCAAATAACTACCTATCTTTTTACCAAATTTTTATTCAACAAATATCCATAAGCACAGTTTTAAATCATTTTCATTTGTCATAAACCTATCGTATTGCCGTGGTTGATGTCTTTTCCTTATTTATGAGATTCAAACTCATTTGTATTGGTTTATTATATAATTTGTTTAAAACATAAAACTAATATACCTGAACAGCAAATCGCTTGTCGATTGTTTTTTAGATTGTCAAATGAATTTTATGTGAAGAATTAATTCAAAATAATGAGTATATAGAATCGCATATTTGTCATATGGTGATTTCTTAGATTACAATTCCAGTTATTGTATACTTAATCTTACAGTTGCCGATGTCCTCAGTAACCATTCATCATCATCTGTCTCTTTGTGCTTTATCGAAAGCTAAAATATGTACAAATACTTAACTTTTATATGTAACCGAAATTGAATAATCTTTGCAATACATAGGTTTTCTTAGACCTTTTAATGTATTCGTAGTCCTAATACACAAGCGTTTAGTTTTTGAAAGGCCAACGTTTCTTTTCAAATGAGAAGCATTTTTTTTTATACCAAGTTTTTCTAAACCCACCTATGTGTTCACTAACACTTAGTTTTATAAGTCTTGGTAATCATGTTCAATCATATTTTTTATTGAACGTTTATTGTTTTGGCAGTAATAACTCAGTAATTTCTAACTGGTGATCAACCGTTTGATCACGGATTAAAACAAACTTTTTTGCGTCATCATTCTGAACGTATATATGGTTTCATTTACATTACTAGGGCCTGATACATTACGTTAACCTATTTTAGTTTTGAATCAATTATTTTGTATTACGTTTCCGTTTCATGATTATCTTTTTCAAATTTCGTTTTGGCTCAATATCGACAAAGATGTTTTCAGTGATGTTAAATGTCTTCTATTTTATTGTACTAAAGTTTGGTAGTTACATAAGTCTTGTCACTTTTGTCTTTCATTGACTTAGTTTTATACTTCCGTCACTTAAGCTATTCTTACAAACGTATCAGTTGTTATTGAAATAAAAACATCATTAATTTGTTGTTGTTTAATAAAATTTATGTCTCTACTATTGCAACCTTTAAAATATTCCGGAAATAGCATTGTAGTGAACGAGAACACAGGTGGGGACAAACGGATGTATTTAGCACAACAATTACAGTCTATTTCAACAATATCTGAATACCATATATTAAATCGTCAATTTGCAAAATATTCACGCATCAAACTAAACTGGATTGTTTCTGTGGCAAACACCAATCCATTGTCTCCCATTCCATTGTTCATAGGTTTTCTTGCAAATCCATTATGTTTTCGCTCCACCTTTCTTGATCTTCGCCATCTTTTGCTGTCAGACATCACGTTCTTTTAACGCACGTTATATACTACTTATATCAATATAAGTAGCTCACACCACAGCATCCCTTATTAGAACGTTTTTGCAAACATGATTGAGTTTAGTTGTATTTGATGTGAAATTTTTTAATCTTAACGTGACTTGAAACCTCAACGTTTTTTACAGAATATCTGTAACTTAAGTTGTTTGTTTTCATATTCGTAGTTTAACTGTCCGTTTAATTCCGAAAGAAAAAGATTCAACCGAATTTCCTGACAATGCTAGTAATACTTCTACCACTGTATCAACCACAACAATGATTACAAATCCAACTGTAATAGATAATTATATAATAGTCGGCAGTTCATCTGAATTAATATCTCATATATCAGCTAAAAATAATAATTCATCTCAAAAATCAAGTAGTGCGTATTTTATAAAGAAGTTAGACGATATCCCGTCAAATCAATCTATATCTGTGACAATTTCATTATGTTGTTCATCTCCTTCGTTAGTTTCTAATAATAATCAAACACTTTCATGTTATTTGACTTTCTCTACTAAACTTTTACCTTGTGAATATCCTGATTATTTATTATCATTATCGGATTCATTAACAACAGAAACAACATTAGTATATAATGTTATACATGAATCTGTGAAATTATCTAATAACATAGAGCTGTCGAATATAAATAATAATTTAGTTCAAAATATAATGGACCAAAATGCAATGGTAATTCAATGTACTCAGAATATTGAAACTAATATAACTATCTTGTCACCATTTGAATTAGACTATAAACTGCTTTCCTTAACAGTAAGTTTTGTTTTATTATTATTAGTATTATCACAGTTATTCTAAATTAGTTTGCAATTTACACCACACTAGAAATGATTATGCTGTACGTTTCTGCTGATTTTACTGTATATGTATCTGTTTGATTTCGAAACGAGGTAAATCTATTGTGTCTATAAAAACATGATCAGATTAGAACTTGATTTGGGAAATAAATAATACAACACAGAAATCCCTATTGTCATTCAGTCATAGCCACTCTCATTGATCTGAATGTGATATGTGAGTTCTTGTAACACTATTTGACAGTGAACAACTTATCTGATAAATATTATACTCTTAATCCAGTGATTCTCAATTATTATAAGCCTGATAACAGGGTATTTAAAATAGTATTGACTCAGAATATCCATATTTCCGATTGTCATTCCGGCTTTATTGTCTAACCTATTTAATTGATGTGAACAAATCAGCAGTTTAAAATTCCCCATAGCTTATTCAGAAATGAAGAATATTTGATCGAACAATTGTTTTCAATAACTTCATTATCAGGTTCTACAGTTATAAGTCCATAATTATTACGACATGTATTAATAAGTTCGACAATCCTATATGTTGAAAATGGTGAACGTTTGCGTCTGTTATGACATAACTACTTCAAAATTGTGTTATTTGTAAATTACAAACGGCCTTTAATAAAAATTATGATCATTTGTCGTAAAGTGTCAAGTCACAATCAGTATAATAGTAATATAGCAAAAATGAAAGTGCAAAAAATCGTGTGAATAAAATGCATAGTAAAAGGATTTCCATTTTTCAGTATTACTATTATTACTATTATTATTATTATGTCAGTTAAATATAAATCACACAATACTTTTAGATAAAGTACTTCATTTTATTTTTCTAAGCATCTTTAAAACCATGAACACGCTCGGAATTCGTTTCTGAGCGCCAAAATTCAGAAAGTTGTTTTAGAAGCAATCAACATGAATGCTTTATTTGACAAAAAAAATAAGTGATTTAACGGATTCACTTCATTATTTATTTTTATCGATTGATTACTAACATTGACTTGATGCGGAATTGATTGATTCTTACTTCATCTCCATTTCTTAAATTCGCTCACCTCCAGTGTCACCATTAAGTTTGCCCTGATAACTGGAGTAGGGGTTGACCTGATGATACCTCATTCGGTTATTTATGCGCTAATAATTTAAGTAACAACTATTAAAAACATAAATGCTATAACTATCTCCTGTGTTTGTTTTCCTATTTCATTTTTAGCAACATCCTATTAAAAGTCTTATAGTTAACGACGAGTTTTTGTTATTGTTCAAGTTAACCAATACAGCTGATTGCGAACTGGAAATACATAATATACAGTTGGAAGTGGTAAGTTGATGCTTATATATATGGCTCAAAATCGATCACGATGACGTAGGTGTATGCTCTCTTTGTGTTCCCTTAAACCGTGAGACTAAAGTTGCTGTATGCCTTTCTTTCCACGAACTAATTCGTTCTCCCCGTATTATATCCTTATACGCAATCTTTCTTTTATGTATTACTACCATTGAAATACCCGACCGTTGCTGCTACCTTGACGTGATAGCCAGGTTCGCCTACCTTAATGAACCAATCGAGCTATACTGGCTGGAGCAATCATTCCTCAAGGTCAGAAGGCGAAGTCGTACTGCTGACTGTACAGAGGTGTGACAGCACTAAGGTATCTCCTTCAGACAACCAGCATAACAGGGATGCTACCTTTCCACAAAGGAGTAGTGGGATTAGAAAAGGTTGACCCTATAAATGCACACCTCGCCTTATCCCACAGTTTTCCGTCTCCTGTGGTAAGGTCCCAACAAGTACGGAGCTAACATGAAAACTACTCACAAAAAGGTCCTGTGTGACCGACCTCATGCAGTTGTCCCTGGAGCACTGCGGTCATAATCTCAGGTTTCTAGGACCAACTCTAATCCAATTTCCTTTTCAGGTACCTCTAGAAGAACCCTTCTACGTTGCGGGTAACTGGGAAGTAATAAACACCACACCTCTAACAGCGCTCAAGACTCACCTTTGAAGTAAACCCTCAAATGCCATGGTTCGGTCGATGATCAGCTCTCCCTCTCAAAATGCTCTTACATAGCCACGTGCATACAACGACTGCCACGGAAGTCTTACTCACTGCCTTCTTGCTTCTGGGATGTTTTTACGAAATTGAGAGGACGAAAAGCAAGTGTCCGGCGCTTTAACGGAGTCAGTGGACACGGAGTTCACCTAGGGGAGTTGTGGAACCCTGATTCCAAACCAATGGTACACATGGGCTACAGTATCCTGAAGGAACAAATGGCCTATGAACCTATTGTTGGTCACCAACCACCATGTTACTGCATCTCCTTGAGTTGCTCCACTGCCTTGTGGACCAGACCTTTAGGTCGAGGGCTCTGTTTTAGCTGACTGAATGATATAACGCTTGTTTTGTAATGAATGTCTCTTCATCATATGTGATGTATATTCTTCAGAAGTGAATATTTAAGCCCTGTGTTATATATGAACAGATTTATATACATATTCAATGTCTTAATAATTATTTTCATGGGTCTTCCTAATACTTTCATTTACATAACTTATATTTTAGGCGAATGAGATATCGTGTGGAAGTGACTCCCATAATACCTGCATCAAAAACTGTAAGTTTAAGTAACTGACTTTGTAAATTTTTATTTTTTATTGATAACTAAACTTGATTTTCTTTATACAATTTATGATCATTATATACCAGTACGTTTATTTCTTTCATGTGTGCAGCATTTAGATTCGATACTTCATGTTTGAATGCTTGTTCAATAATTCAGTAAATAATTTCAACACCTTTCAGTGCCATTCATTTTTTCTGTATATACCTATCATTTGTATGCCTACAAGGAAAACAAATTTAATCTGTTTGTAGTGTTCGGAAAATAAAAGATAATAAAATATATTGAAAGTGTCTATCGATGAAATAGTTTAACAACAACTATTAGTATGTCCTGATTGACAATATACTCCAACCTAATGCTATGTAACCGATGAGCACGAAACTACCTTACGTAAAACAAACCACAAAGACTTGTATTCTTTTTCGAAAGATAAAAATGACGGTTTATAAATTTCTTTCAAATCCCCTGTGTGTATTTTTAGCGATGTATAATTATCGCAGCGTTATCAAAATTGTGTAAGTCTATGAGATGTCTATAATAACAGCTAAAAGTTGACATTCCGTTTGTGTTATAGTCTAATGCCACCAATCAGAAGCTGCGAATTAGCGATCGGATCAAGGACGCGTAAAACACGTGCGAGCAGCCCAGAGTTCTGACTGTTCCTGCTTTCCACCTAGCCCAGCCAGTTAAGTCCAGAACGCCAATCTCAGCGCCTGTAATATGAATCATTATATTTCAAACGTACTTAGTTTATATACCAATCAAACAGACCACAACGCAGCATAAAATAGAAAATAACATTCGTACAAAATTTGTCCAAATGTGGCTGTGAATGTGTGAGGCAGTGACTAACAGACAGGGTATAATTTAAGAATGGTAAAACGTATAATGATGGTTCATAGGTCAAAATAAAGTTTATAATAAAAGGAATATGAATAGTTTAGTCATTTAACATACGTTTAGTATTGGTCCATAAAACGATCCCAAAGTTACCATTCATTATGTTTATCGGAACCTGACAGTTTGTAACAATATATTTTTAGAAATTTTTATCCCGGGTTTTAGCAAAGGAATTATGAAATTAATGATCTCATTAGTAGTAATGAGTATCAGTGAAGCTGCAGTACGTAATGCGATAGTACGGAAACTGAAGAAAATACATTTCTTCGGATTTAATTTAAATGATTTAAACACCAGTTAGTCGTCTCCCTGTTGTTTAAATCTTTAAAACCGTTTTCAATTATATGAACACAATAGAGATATTTAAGGAATTCATTGATAAACTCAAATGAACAAAACAATCACCCATTGTTCTAATTGATTTTCTGTTTATCTGTTGACTGAATACCACTCGACATACGTAGTTATGACATTTATTTATTCTTCCAATCATTTTATTTATAATGAGTTAAATTTTCTATTGGTATAACAACAATTCATTAAAATGATTCTTTTTTTCTCATTTCAGTAATTATGCAATCCTCAGAAAGTTGTACTGAATGTCACATGTTATTATTAACAGAAACAATGAACTCACTCGAAACAATAAATCTAGGCTATATTACTGTTCATTGGTCACGGTCAGTTTATAATATTAATATTATATATATTTCTATTACTATGGAAATAGAGTAAGTCGACCGATAGTTGACATCTGCCAACAACACAAAAGTAGTAAATATACACCACTTACCAAACATATGCTTAAAAAATGTAACACACTTATCATTAGTAAGGAGATGAGTAATCTATATTCTTCAGTGAATGTATAAATATTTATTATGAACTTAAACATTTTAAAATGGAATAAAAGCAAACCTAGGTATTATCTGAAGTTTCGAGTAATATTCTCAGTAAAATACATAAAATGTTCTTCAATAAACCGCCTGATTTGTTAACCTTCAGTGTCTCGGTAACATTACCAAAGTAGATTATCGTTCTTCTAAATAATTTTCGAAATTCTTTCAGATTGTTCCCACATACATTTATTTAATGTTGCTAAATCAGAATTTTGAATACTCTTTCTTGTGCAGCGTATTAAAAAATCAATAATCATTATGCTTTTTTTTAATTTTCAGCATTCAGTTTTCTTAGTATGACAACTAAATAGTGAACATAATGTTCATTATCATACTTGCCCTCCATAATAATACCCTTCTTTTTTACCCTGTAGAGTTTGGTTATATCAGGTTGTTTTCGTACCTCCTTTTACCTAGTTGGATTAAAACTTAATACTGTCAATGTCAGTCTCCCTCTTGCTAAATAGAAGAGGATTTGTAGTTTTTTGTTGTAGGGATTAAGTGTTCAGTCCCCATAAACTAGACCTTCATATAATTTTAGAAGCGATGCATATTCCATGTTTATTTAATAACTTATCGTTCTCTGTATCTTGTTGAATACCTCTATCAATGCTTTTGCTGTCAATGTGATGAAGAATGTATACACTCCTTGTTTTCAGAATATATTTATTGCAACCGAATTTAGAATAAATTCATTTTCGCGTATGTTCATACAACTTATGTTCAGTTTTATGCAATATGTGTTGAATCATCCAGAGTTAGACTAAGTGGTAAGTGAAAAAATACTTACGGACTCACGCTACTGGTTGAAAATGTTGCTTCATTTTTCCAGAGAAAAAGATATATATTAATGTTTGAGTCGTAAAAACACTCTTAATTTGGTTAGCCTTTAAAAGCTTTATACTCTTAATTTTCTCACTCAAGTATCCGTTGTAGACATGCAAATAGGAATCGTTTATATTAGTAGCAAACTCAGACAACCTCAGTACATACTGGTATGTTTATTAAATTGAAGTAGAATGAATGTTTCCAGATAACCCATTTATTCTCTCTCTCCCCCTCTTTTTATAGTGTGTCAACACATGATGATGATAATATGAAACCGTATATTGAAACGACAAAATTCACCTTACCGACTATTCCGGTTTTATCTTTACCTATTCAAATTAGTGCTGAACTTCCAGCTTATGGTGTTATGCTCACTCCATTTCCAATCACATTTATTTTATCTAACAAAACTATTTATCCACAGGTATTTCGTAAATTAAATTATTTTTTTTACTATGTATATAATATTCATTTAAATGTAATTTATAATAGTTATTCATCTAAAGAGAATAAATTTACCAGTAAATCCACTTTGTCGGATGGCATACATATACAGTCAAGGCGGTAATTTAATCTACACGTATTTCGAAATAAGTTTATTTAAAGGAACTTCGATAAACAGTGTTTTATCAACATTATTCTGGACATAACATGTTATCGTTTGTAATTCTAGCGTTAAATTATTTCTGTATTACTCCATTACTTACAACTGTTTTAATTCAGGCATGATTGCTGACTGGAGTTTCAGTGTAGTGTTTACTTCACTCTATTCCAAACCATATAGTTCACAGTTTCATACTTACTCTCCTATCTCTTAAAAACAAGTTGTACACAAACGTGTTTCTTTTCTGGAAGTTAGATCGGGATTTCATTGTTTACTAGTGTTGTTTAATTTCTTGTGTGAAGTATTCAATGAATACGTTGAAACAAACAAAAACTCCATATGAAAGAAATTCACAATGGAAGTGTGTCATTTTTATCTGTTGTTTATTTTATAAAATTGAGAACAACTGTCTCTTCGATAGAATCGCCCATGACAAATGAGTAACTTGATCCAACTAAAATAGTTTCTTAGTTAATACTGGTGATTTTATTGTGTAAATATAGAATTGATATCTAAAGAATAATCACCCAAAATATGCCATGTTTAAAACTCAGACTACTTATATGAAATAAGTAGTAAGAATCATAAACCAATATTTTAAGATATTTTAAACTATATATGTAAAATATGTGTACCTTTCGTCACTCATGATTATTTTTATAAAACTCCCTTGATTCGGAGTTTCAATATGAATTTTTTTACCACTTAAATATAAGTGTAAAGCTGTTATGTGGCTTCATATATGTTAAGGTATTTAACGCAATGTACTTGTCAACATATGTATTTCCACTGTTTACGAAACCACAGTAAAGCTCAGTTTTTATTCTGTTTAGTTTTATCCCAACACTCAAAAAATTGTAATTTCGCCTTACATATATATGAGGGCTAGATTTATTCTTATCTTGATGATGGAGCAGATTTGTAACTGAGGTTTATCATTTTTGTGAAATTTCGTTCTCTGAACTGGATGGTCTAATCGTATAGCTTTCATTGTTCTTCTTTACATCATCAGCATAAGCTTCAGGTAGAAGTTAGGTACTCTCTACATAAAACTAATAGCTCTTCCTGTCGACTTCGAAAAGCTCACTTTTCTCTGGATTTTATGCTGATGCTGTTCAGTAGAACACTAAAACCTTTTTCGTTTATAACATCTAACCCAAAGAATGAAACTTCATCAAGATAATCTTTATGTACTGTTACTCGTGACGTTCACTTCATAGAAGAAATTAGCAGAGCACTAATTCACTCAACTTTAAAATCACGAAGATAATTTCTTAAATGTAGCCGTGTCAGTGAGTCGGACCACCCAACTGGCTATAGATATTTCTCAATCTAATCGATGGGTTCTAAAGATATCGGGCGAAATCGTTCAATTCTGCAGTGTAATACATGAGCGTAAAATTCACAGCTAATTTCTTTTTCGTGAAAAGAATGAATCGAGCGAATACATTTTCTTTCAATTAGTTTTTCATCGTGGCTCTACATTAATATACGTTTTTATGATTTACAACAACGAAATAATACTCATGGAGTAACTACTTTACATAACAATTGAAAATAAATTTCTTCACTCGGTTTGTTAAAATTGGGATTTACACTTTAATTTCTGTTCGTTCCTTTTTCATTCTTGGGTTCCTCACTTTTTTATTCACTAAAATAGGAGGCTGTTTTTCAATTAGAATCGATTCATGGTTTTATGTTTTCTGGTCAACAGAAGCTGAAGTTACGATTACTACCTGACTCACCTCACTACTTGAATTATACACTACTTCCATTGGTGTCTGGAAATTTGAAGTTGCCTCGGTAATTTTAATTACTACTTTCCATATTGGTTGAAAATAATAATAGATTAATTTCGAAGTTTTATATATGTACATTCATAAATATGTTCTTTATCATTGCTAAAGTGTACCAAATTATTCTATGAAACTTTGTATATTGCTTTTTTGTAATGGTGTTACATCGTAAACATTTTGGTAAGACAATTTTTTTCTTTATTGTTTATTATTAAAGAGGCGAAATATGACATTTTTCCTGTACAATATATTGTAGTTCATTTTATCTAAAACATATATGTTTATCAGTTCCTAGAATGGTAATGCACTTTTTTAAAATTTCCTATTGATCCTAATACTTCATTTACTCCGATAATATGTAGTCTTATTTGATAAATACTTTCGAAATCGAATCCCTACTATTGTGTGCAGATTCCCATCATTAACTGTAAACCGCAACTCTTATATCTTGTCTTACGTTGCTTCCCAGTTGCTTAAATACTGTTAAGTTTCGTTGCAGCTAATCCAACGACCCATTGGTTAAAAGTAAGTTCATTGGACCGCCGCGTTGTGTAGATTCCGTTAACTTAAGTGTTCAAAATATCTAACACTATGATCTTGTAGGTTAGTAGTCAAAGTTTCTATACACCACAATCTTTACCTGATATCATGTATTCAGATGAGACGTACCTAAAAACCATGAACTTGGGTTTTAAACTAGGTGTCGACCATCAAGAAGGAATAGTTGTAGTCTTGATGCAGCTAAAGTTCCTCGTCAGGATTCAAACTTGTCTCATATGTATTTCCGTGAACTCATTTGGGCTATCACTCACCTTTTGTAGAATTTAAAAAAAATTACTCTACTTGAGCACCTGATTGATAGTAAATAGTATCAGACTGTTTAGTCTCTGGTTCCGATCTGATTTTCCATTTTCCAATCCATGTTAACCAAGCAAGACGTCTGTCTATCCATATGATTTTATGGTCAAAGTTATCTGCTATTTGTCTTGAAAAAACTTTATGCTTCACTTCATTTTTTCATGTTCGTTCTATATGATTGGAATCGAATAGTGTTAGTTTAGGAAACAGTAAATTGTTATTCATTGTTTCACTAAATTACCAAAATATCATACCGTCATTTCGTTGTGTTCAGTGTCTATCAGGATGCGGTTATACACTAAGATTACGAGTCTTAAATGATACTTTTTTTCGGTTACTTTATTAGTGTAATACTTTTTCATAGTAATAATGCCCTTCGAAAATAAGCATATACTTCACTCGTTCGTTTATTTGAACCCCAGTGCCTAAAGTCATATGTGGTAAATAAGTTACAGGTATCATAACATCTTTGAGTTATGTACACCCGTTTAGTATTCCCTAACTAGTACAAAAAATTTACCTATTCCTTAGTTTCGAATGAATTTCCTATCGATGCCAGTTTTCTACCTTGGTTTCTCACAAAATTACATTGTAAATCTTTTCTATATGTAATAGCTTGTGCGTTTTTATTTGACTAAATGATGTTTATTATTGAAATTTTTTAACAGTTTACATGTTATGTTAGAACGTTATGCTACGTTAACATCAAACACGCAAAATGATCAACCTGATATACACATACAATTAGAAGAAAATCTCCTACGACAAGTTCCAACACATCTAATAGTAATTGTAGGTTGTTATTATTGTTGTCTTTATTATATACTCTTTTGTTTATTAATTTATTATTTTCATAATGAAACATTTCCAATGTATTTCCACAGATTTTTCATAGCTGGATTTTCTCTGTGTTCCGAGGCTATATTATTTTTTAAGAAGATGAAGAAGCCACAAAAATGTGATAATCTATTCTAAAAAGCCTGTTTAATTAGATCACAGATATAAATTATTTTTTGTGAATTGTTTTGATCAATTCTACTTTAAACTAAATCTTAAATAAATGCTTACCTTAATGAATTTGACTTGTACAACCATTGAAATTTTTCTCAATTCACTCATTCTCCTGATACTTGGATATCAGTCGCACTCTAAGTTTGAGTGGTTATGTTACTACTCTGTTTGTTCGAACCAGAAACTTGGTGGCAAAAAGTCAAACTCCTTAACCATCAAGCCATCTCTCTTCAGGGTATTTTTAAATACCTGTTATTTACAGCTGACATATAGTAGTATCCAACACTAATTATATATATAAATTCAAAAACAGAATATTTGAGCGAACAATTGCTTTCAACAACTTCATCACCAGACTCTACAGTTATAAGTTCATAACTATTGCCAAAATAAGGCATGCATTAATGAATTTGACAATCTCATATATTGAAAATGGTGAATGATTGCATCTGTTGCGAAATAATTGATTAAAAATGGTGTTATTTATAAGTATCATTTAATAAAGGTCAGAATGATTTTTAGTAAAGTGTCAAGCCATAATCAGTAGAATAGTCTATATTCTATATCTACCAAGTGAGGAAGAATGACCCTAATAATCGACTTAGTGATTGCTTAGCCCAACCATTCTGGCACATGTATCCAGAAGAAGTATATCCAGCCTCTATACTTAGCTTGGTCTACGACTGGATCACCAGATACATAAACTAGATATTATAAACCTCTTATTCCCTCTGCCAATTCCTTTAACATTTATACCTTTCTTAATCTACACATCCGTCTTTCCCAATTCACATGAATTCATTTTTGAAGTACTTATGTTGATAACACCTCTCTTATTACTTAGTATAGTCAAACAACGTTACTAATATTATCATTACTATTATTACCTTGATTAAAAAGATGAAATTCTCCTACTATGCATTTTATTCATACGATTTTTATTCTATTATTATATGACTATTCTACTGATTATGACTTGACACTTTACTACAAATCATTCTGACCTTTATTAAATGATACTTATAAATAACACCATTTGTAATCAATTATTTTGCAACAGATGCAATCATTCACCATTTTCAATATATGATATTGTCAAATTCATTAATGCATCCCTAATTGTGAACTTATAACTGTAGAGTTTGATGATGAAGTTGTTGAAAACAATTGTCCGCTCAAATATTCTTTGAATCTGATTATATATATATATATATATATATATATATATATATATATATATATATATATATATATATATATATATGTATTTGTTCTCTACGAAAGAAAGTTGCTTAGGAAATAAGGCTAACAAGCTCTAACATAATAGACTCATAAATTCCACGAATAAGTCATAATTATATTCATCCGTCAGTTTGAATTTGTCATAACAACAAGTATGATGCAAAATGTTTGGAAAAATATTAATTAATTCCATTTAGCTATTGGACGATTTGATAATAATTGCAAGCATAATTCATGATAAATTTAACCTGTATATTTCGAATGTTTACCGTCGAACTATAATTTCGTATATTCAGAAACGAGAGAATAGTTGTGAACTACTGTGGCAACCTAAAATTAACGGTTATTTCTTTTTTTATCTGTAAATCTGGTCTTAGACACTTAATGACAAATTTAAGAATGATAACTTTTAAATATTTCGACACGTCCTCATACCATATTTTATATGGCAGTTATCAAGTAACTTAAAATATCTTTTCTCCTTGTTAATTGTGTTTACTGAATGTATTCATCCAATTTAAATCAGATCTACCTTTATTCATCTATGAATTATATTTATCTCATCGTGTACATTAAACTCACAAAACACTGACAAAGCATAAACGTTTTTCATTTAAGAAATTTATAATACCTTTTGATTAAAACGGATTAATATTTAGATAAATCGGACTATTTAATAATTTCATATTTTGTAAAATTTAGATCAATTTAATATTTTAGTTTATAAAAACTACTTCGTAATGCAAAATTTATTACCAACCAAATTGTTTTACACTTGAATAAATCTACAACTGGTTACTTTAATATTAACTTTACATAATACATCCCATTACGGTAGTATTAGTATTCATTATTATTCTAGTTAGATGTTAAAAATTGACACCATGTATTGTTTGTCTTCCATTCTGCTTTGTTCTATTATTCCTACTTCGTATTAAAATAACACCTCGTTTCTTTTTTTCATCTATAATATTAGTTTACATCATATATAGTGTTTTGTATTGTGAATTTGTCAATAATAATTCATATTTTGATGCCAATCATGTTCTCTATTATAAGTTAGATAATCAAACCCATTGTTAATGATTTTTATTGTCACTCGATCATTGTTAATTCTTTCTTTCATTTTTATACATCCGATTATCCTAAATGTTTGTCCGTTTGTAGTTTAAATACGTGTATAGAATATTTAAACATGTTGCATATGGTTGTACGTATATATTTTATATTTATTCACAAATAGAATTAACACATATTTTGTTGATTTGTTTGTATTTTCTAATATCATATTCTATTATTCTTGTTTATCTACTTTATGAAGCCATCAACGGATGGATTGTTTGAATCGTCTGAGAAAAATCCAATATTCAATCAAGAAGAGATTAAAAATGTGTAATACGATAGATAGATAGATATATCTGAAAATATTTTATCTCGCTGTTGTTTCAAAAGTTTTAGTTGCCCTCTTTAAAAAAGCCTAAAGATGAGCTTATTTCATTTGTTTGCTCTAAGTAACTTCTTATTCCTTGACTTTTTTTTTGTTTATTATTATTACAAAGCATAAGTACCTTAATTTTTTACTTTCAATAATAAACTCTCCAAAACTTTCGTTCCATCTCTTTTCCTTTTTTTTATTCTTTACAAATAGAAATGCATCATTTTTGGAATGTTTTTTGTATCATAATTTCTTTATTCCCAAATAAATCAATAAAAAAATCTTTTCAAAGTTCTTTACGTTTTTTTTTAATCTCATCAGTGGATTATTTAAGATTTCGGTCGCTGTTATTCAACTTTTTATTCAACACATTGCTTTAGTACTGATTTACGATTGATAAAATATTAAAACCGATCGATAGCTTCTACCGTTGACGTTTTAGAATTTTACAGATCCTGTATTATTTGAGCAAAATGATTAAGTTGTGAAATCAGATATTAAAATATCTTCACAAATGTCTATCGGCTTCTTCTATTGTCACGGATTTTACTTAGTTTTCTTTGTAATTGTGTAATTGTAAGGAACTGACAACGTTGTTTGCAAAGTTCTGGGAGCTAGAGAGTGTTCTAACATCATTGAATGAGTCGATAGTTGTCCCTATCTTTAAAAAGGGTTCACGTCGTTCCTGTAACAACTATCAGGGGATAAGTCTACTTCCGATTGCGTCCAAGCTATTGACTTCCGTCATGCTTCGTAGGTTGTTCAAAACCCGAGAAAGATTGACTCGCGAGGAGCAGGTTGGTTTTGGTTCTGGTCGAGGATGTATTGATCATATCTTCACCCTCCGACATATGTTAGAATACCGTCATACTTATCACAGACCAACAATCGTGGTGTTTCTTGACATCAAGGTTGCCTTCGATTCGTTGGACAGGACTGTTCTCTGGGATTGTCTATTGAAGAAGAGTGTGCCTGAGAAGTTTATTAACATCTTAAAGGCACTATATACAAACACCTCAGGCAGAGTTGGGGCATACAACCACCTTTCTCAATTGTTCCATTCGAGCAGTGGGGTTAGGTAGGGTTGCCCGATCTCGCCATTCCTCTTCGACTTTGCCATTGGTAACATTCTGGAAACAGCTCTGATGGATGTAGGTAATTGTGGTATGGATCTGTTGTCTGGAGAAAGACTCCTCGACCTTGAGTATGCGGATGATATTGTCTTACTGTTCGATAATGCCCAAGCCATGCAATCCCCACTTAATCAGTTGGCAATCAGTGTCCGTAGGTATGGTATGTGCTTTGCACCTCAGTCAGTCAGTAACAACGTAGAACTTCGTACGTACATACATCAGCTCGAGTTGCCACACCACATTAGCACAAAGATGCAGTTGTCTATTCAAATCCCGTAGTGGTAGAGGCGGTAAGAGTATAATCAGTAATCGGAAAGATTGGGGTTTGAAGATGTTATTTAAAGAGTAGAATCCAGTGAAATAAATTTGGAAAGAAAAGAAAAGAGACATGGAGGATTCAGTAGATCAGAATTTGCACCTTCGAAGTGCATAGCACTTCTACAAGACTGGCAGGATTCTAATCCTGTACTCACATTGGGTGATGAGCAGATAGAAGTAGTCGAGAAGTTTGTGTATCTAGGTAGCTGCATAAGTGCTGGTGGTGGCGAAATCAATGCACGTATAGTGAAAGCCAGAGCGGCTTATGCTAATCTGGTTCATCTTCATGCTCTCGTCTAATTGACCGGGTCTATTTTGATGTGTCTATTGATCGATGAGTGAACAGAGTACCTTATTTATAAAAATCGTGGTTAAATTTGTGTTTTCTCTGTCCAATATTGCAACATTTCCTCAGTTGCACTAATATCCATAGTTATCCACGTGCATTTTTACAAGTGGAGGTATGTAATTGTGTTTAACAGATAGATATTGCTCACCTATATCTCGTTATATAAATTATTTATTTTTCATGTAAAACTTGAACTCAAGTATTCCACAAGTAATTTTCTCAAGCTATCACATCTATAATATGTAACTGGTGTATTTGTAGCTTTCACTCTCTATTTGTATAGTTGAATTCCTCGATCACTCTAATTGATGAAATGACTCATTTTGGTGTGGTTACTACGTTACATATCCCTGAACCGGTACCATCATACCGGTCTTCGGTTGTGAGTCAAAGTATTTAAATATGATCTTGTGTCTGATAATTAGACAATAAATTTCATTAACGAGAAGAAATAATTTTTTTAAGGCGGTGAGATTGGAATGGAAATGTATCCAGTCAAATTCTTCAAAACAACATGAGCGAGTATTAAACCTCTTGATATGGCGTAACCATCTTAAACTATTACTCAATATGATCAAAGCTTTGTGACTTTGTAATCTTTTCTTTAACTTTTTTGATGGTACAGTTTCAATTATTTCGTAGCTTTACTCATGTGTTAATTAAGAAATGTGGAGTAAGGAAATCTAGTTCCCATCTAAATTAAGTTGTCACTTGTAATCTCAAGTGTTGTCGAGACTTAGGGTGCCACTCGGTTGCTAACTTGCTCTTTCAACGGTGGATTGAATAATGATCTCATCGTATCACTTGAATGAAGTTGCAATCGAACTCCCTTATTCCATTGTATCGTACTCGCTGGTTGTCATAAATGAACAACAACTGCTACACGAAGATGATGCAGGGGCATGTTACTTCCTGATTTAATGAAATATATTTTCGATTTGAACTGATCTAGTCGTATCCGAAGAGGATTGAATTATTGGTAATTTCCGGAAACTACTTATAGACTGTGATTATATATTTGTGTTTCTCTTTTCATAAGCTTTCATTTGACCTTTTAGCTACTATTATACAATTTACTATTCTTAATTCATTCCCAACCTACTGGTTACAGTCTCCCACACAGTCACTTTTGGCTTGAGTTTGTATACCTGTTATTTTCCATTTTGTGGCGTGATGCGATCTGATCTGCTTGTATATGAACTACTTATATCTGAAATATATGATTCATATAGTGGAAGCTGATATTGTGTTCTAAACTCAACGACAGGGCTAGGCAAGAGGCTACTATATAAAGGATCAATAAGGATTCAGAGTGCTAGTTCTTGGTTTAGCTCAGGAACAAGTTCATAGAAGTCAATATTCCAATTGGCGATTATGTCACATAATAATTGACAAGGGCAGAAAACATTCTCAAGATACTATGAAACTAAATATTTCATAATGATTAGTAATCGAACAAGTAAAACTTCGCTCATGAAATTAATGCATATCTCACAAAGCTTCTTATGATAAAAGATAATCATTGGCTTAAATCTGTGGTGTAGAGCGAATCAATAATTAAAATACATTCTTTTCTATTTCCCCTTGTATAATTACTTCCTGTAATAAATACCGCGTTGGAAACGTAACCACCTGGTTCGTATTCTTAAATCTATACAGACATTAAGGTTTCAGATATTTTCCATTTGTTGAAATTCATGAGTATATCTTATATGGTCCATCAAATGATTTGCTTGGTGGTTAAATTATTAAATATCGAAAAAACATTACGAAGTTTACATGAAGTACAAACATGGGTATCTCTTTAACAACATTTTAAAATACAATTTCCAAAGATATTTATTTACAACACGACCAGTACATATTTACTCCTGTCATGTGTTTACTAATCAGGTGTGCTGCTGTTAACATAATTCACACTGAAGGTTTTAGTGCATTTATCCTAATATATATCCTGTGTTTATTGATCCATAATGATCACATGGTATCCCTAATGCCTGAAATAATAACGAATACAATTGTAAAGGCTTAAAATGGAAATCTAGATGGTCTTACTATTTTTGGCTATTGATTTACGTAAATTTGTTAAATCTTGTAAATTAAATGGATTCTATAAGAATTTGTCCCGTTTAAGTATAATTGTTCATAGAAGTTAGTTGGTCTTACGGTTGCCCTTTTTTATGTCAAAATGTTACCTATGATCCTCTGAATGATATAATTCGTGTCGTGGCTTTACTGACTAATTGACTTGTATTCCTTTGATTAAAATAAAGCTCTGTGATCGGTATTCCGTTCAGTCTATACTGACTCAAATGAAGATATCGTTTACAAGTAATCCCCGCTAAGTTCGAAATGAGCATCCTTCAATATTTCACCTATATATGTATGAATTACACTATCAAATAGCATTGTAAAGTAGGAGAGAAACAAAATGATTAGCACACAACAATCTGTTCTGAGAAAAAAGTGTGCCATTAGACGCTGTGTGGATTAAAACTTGAGGTTCTCCTATTATATCTAGAGATATCGTGAGTGCGCACCAGCAGCCTAACGAGCAGTAGGTCTCAACATACACAAAGGAAAAACCAAGATTCTCCGATACAACACAACACGCACCAATCGAATCATACTTGACGGAGAAGATTTGGAAGATGTGAAAACCTTTACATATTTGGGCAACATCACTGGTGAACACGGTGGATCTGATGCAGATGTGAAAACGCGGATCGGTAAAGCAAGAGCAGCATATCTATAACTGAAGAACATCTGAAACTCAAAACAATTGTCAACCAACACCAAAGTCACAATTTTCAATACAAATGTCAAGATAGTTCTACTGTATGGGGTGGAAACCTGGAGAACCACGGAAGCCATCATCTAGAATATACAGGTGTTTATTAACAGTTGTCTACGCAAAATACTTCGGATCCGTTAGCCAATTACTATCAGCAACAACCTACTGTGGGAGAGAACAAACCAGATCCCAGTGGAGGAAGAAATCAGGAAGAAGAGCTGTATGTGGATAGGACACACATTGAGTAAAGCAGCAAACTGCGTCACAAGGCAGGTCCTCTCCTCTATGTCAGAGGAGAAGAGAATGACCGAAGAACACATTGTGTCGAGAAATGGAAATAAACATGAGAAAAATGAAGAAACACTGCAGAGTGGGTTGGAGAATGCTGGTTGTTGGCCTATGCTCCATTGGGGGTAACAAGCGTAAGTAAAAAAATCGTAATTGTGTGTCAGTTGATTGATGACTGAACAGTGTACCATATTTTTGAAAATTGTGGTTGAGTTAATGTTTTCCCTGTCCAATATTTCGACATTTTCTCAGCTGCATTAATGTCCATAGTTGTCCGTATGTATTCTTACTATTTAAACTTGTATTAATTTTATTTGTTTACTCTAAGGAAGTTATATTAAGTCAATAAACATCAGAATTACGATTTTCTACTCATTGGAATATCACAAAAATATTTTTTCTATCAACTTTCTACCCAATGCCCAACTAATTTGAAACTATCAAGTCCAATCTTGGCACTGACGTCTACATTTATTTTATGTTTTATAGTGACGTATCTGCAACTGACACTTATCAAGTAGCTTATAGATATACACTACCCTTACTGTAGTAACACATATGAGTATATGATCTAAATAATTTACGTAAAATCGACAAACAAAAGAGACAATTTTCCCTATGTAAAATCCA